GGACAATGGACGCTTGCCCAACTGGGTGATAGAAGGGCCTGCTACTGAGTGAAGATATGTGGAGGAAGCTCGGCCACAATATATAAGGCGAGTTAAGACCGAGAGTTCGCAATACTTTTACTTATACTCACCAATGCGGAATTAGTTCGTTCTATAGTTTTATAAAATTTCAGTAATATAGAAATTTAATAATTTAAAGACATTATCATCATAATACACGATTTCCATGATTCAACAGAGAATAATAACAAAATATGTAATACTATGCCTAAAATGGAAAACTGCAATAACATAATAAATTATTTTTTATAGAAATTTTAATACATTTCGAAATTAACCAAGCGAAACCGTAATTCGATCTTGAATATTGGACTTTTTAACAATTTACAAATATTCCTCCATTAGTAAAAAAATTAAGGAGTTTCAGTATTTCATATCAGGGATTATATTCCATATTCGGCTACTTCCCTCTACTGGTATCTAGTTAGTACATCATCATGCGAGATGTCCGTCCCCCCGCGCGCTCATCTGAAAACAATCGCGCATCGCACTCAGCGCAACCAACGGGACGATTACGATACAACTATCATTACGGGCGCACTATTGATTCCTAATCCGCACTTCCGGATGTTACGTAAGCCCCCGCTGCCGCCCCCCGGCGCGCCCCCCACCCGGACCCCGCAAGATTTACAGCGGCCCGCGTTCCGTTTGACGAATGATTGGCCGGTCAAAAGGCTCGGGCTATTGTATTGTTTTGCCGGTGCGTATAAATAGAACCGGTTTGTGCGCTTTCAGAGTAATATACCCCATTCATTACGCGTTGCTTCGTGAAAGAAGCCGGTTTATTTAGTTACTCGAACAACATATCTTTAGTAAAAGGAAACTTATTAGGTCTTTCCTAAACACCGGTCAAGTGCGATTCGAACACTCGCATAGATGGTTCCGATTTCTCTAATTACGTCTATAAAAACTATACACTTATGAGATTTCCTGTAAAATATAGGTGAGAGTCGACGCTTATCTGATGGAAAATGCTTCATTTATTGTTCGCATAACGTCTAAACTACCCTGCGATTCTGTAAAAATCCTAACCCCAATTCGAAATCACTCATGTGTCCGAACTAGTTATTTAGTTAAGAAATTCTATTGATTTCCGTTTTTTTGTATAAAAATACAAAACAAAATTGATTGATTATATCATGTCTCAGATATTTTATAGGTACTTTCCAAACTCACTTCACTTATGCCACAAAACGTTATTAACAGAATCGCAGGGCTGTTAATAAAGTTTCGCTATTTCATCGAGTGGAGCTCGAGTGTGCATAGTTTCGACTATGCACACTCGACCTCAACTCGATGCGTTCGAGTGTGCGTTTGTCAGATGTGAAGTTGCGGACCAATAATACGCGACACAAAATAATAACGACATGTATTTTTCAAAATTGTCGACCCAGAAGTTTCAGAGAAAAGAGAAAAGAATGATACCCTTCGCCCATTTTCTTAAAAAAAAAAGATTTTTTCACATTCACACGATATATTTATTAAGTTTCTTTTTTTTATTAAAATATAGAGCCTATGCTAAACAATTATATTTTGTTCATTTTTAATATTTTTAATAATATTAGCGCAATCGGTGCAGTAGTTTCGGACGAAATTTGCCGTTACAGACGAACGGAAAACGAACCAAGTGTTCCTTTATTAAGTTCAGTACGGATCTCTAAAAATGATCAAAAACTAGTATTTTTATGACTAAGGAATTGTATCCTATTTATATTTATTTTAATTAATTTCATTGAAAAAATAAAAAGGTGAATTTCTTAAGGAAACTTTTATGAAAGTTTCCCTAAAAAATTTAGCTTTTTTACTTAAGTAAGCTCAAGTCCCCACTTTAAAAAAGCTTCTTTTACAATCACAATAATATTACCTTTACAAACTACTAGGTTCAAACAATAAATATTACTACCACTTATTGATTCCTTATATTTTCCCGCGCACTATCTATAAATGAAATAACTTTTAAACAGATTCATCGCGTTTGTATTTAATTTTTATGACTTTTCGGACCTTTTACACGTTCCGTGTCCACGTAAGACTAAGGTGTTAATCGTCTTTTTAATTAAGAGTATAGATACCTTCAAAACAATAACATAGGACACATTCACAATACAAAAAAAATATGGAAACTTTTACTACGAGTATTATCAAATTAAATTATTTTAAAAATACATTTGTCTTATATATTTACACCTGGCTACCGTAAACTACTACCGGTTCCAAATTTAGGAGTCTTATCTGAGAAGCCAATGCATTTTTAAAATAATTTATTTTCATAAATGTAAACGTTTCCATTAAAATATAAATAAATGTATTTTGAATGTAATAGTATTGTTTTGAAGGAAGCTATACTCTTAATTAAAAAGACAATCAACACCTTAGTCTTATGTGAACGCGGAACCTGTAAAGGGTAAGAACGTCAATAAAACACAAATAGTATAGTAATAGAACAGTCACAAACAAAAATAAGGTCAATGGGACGTGCAGGGGAGCGATATGCAAAGAGCTGGCACTGACCCCGCACCCTCGCGGAATGCACCGTGCAAGTATCATACGCCACTATTCAACGCAAGGGGGTCGACTGAAGCGCGGCAAATGTCTCCTCTGAGATTTAAAGCTTCATATAAGAACGTTAAGGATTCAACCGCTAATCATTTGCATTGCAATGTTTTTTTTTTATCTAGAAGAACCTTTTAATAACGAAAAAGGTTGTATTTAAAAGATTTTTACTATACGTACTTTTACAAGCATTATATAATGCTATAGTAACTCTGTTACACTTTCAAACTTTAATCACCGAACTGAATTTGATTTGGTACACAGATAGAGTAAAAGGGTTGAAATAGGAGATGAAAGTTCGTCATTGATAGAAACTATATCACACGGACAAAACTGCGAGCAAAAACTATTATTCGATAATTTTGCATTTATGATCTTTTATTTATATTGATCTTATATAAATGTTCAAGTATTAAGTGCAAAGGGATAAAAATCTGATGTAATCATTTTCTCTTATCGGTTAAAATGATAGGTCGATGTGAAACGTTATAATTCTTTCAAGGAGTTCATAGAGCCACTTTAAAGAAGTAGCAACGTAGAGATATTTGTTTCTGTTAAGTTAAATAAAACATATTATTATTTATTTATTACATTTGATCAATTTTACGAGTACATTCACAATGTTTTTTTTTTTATTTTTCATTAAATATTGATACATATTTTTTTATTTATACGAGTGATTATAAAACCATTAACATGTATAAAAAACATGATAATTTAGATACAATTGACACTGTAAATGAAACTGAGGTGATAAGTTTTCTGTCGAAGACCAATAACACGATTTTTATCATATATAAGTACGAGATTATATGAAACGGGTATTAACGCGATAGATAGACATTTAAGTTTTCATACGATCTAATATAATGCAATGCGGAAGTTTAAAAGTTTATATATATAAGTACCTACAATATAACACATTTTCGAAGCTTATTTCAGTATTTTATGCTGTATTTTTTTTTATTCATCGGTGTATTAACCAATCAAACTATAAAGTTTAGTGGCAAAATAACACCATATGGGCAATCGATAATTCTGAGAACATTTGAATCTTGTGCACGAAATTTAAATTGTCATGACGCATCGTATATTCATAGCGAATGTTATCTGTGACCGAGTACATAGCCTAGGGGCGGCTGACGTAGTCGGCCTATGCCAATGAGTCAGCGGTAAATTTATCCTGTTAAAGCCTTATTACAGACGGACTTACTTATTAAAGGTTAATGAGAACCATCTTAAATAATAGACTTTTGGAATTACGTTTAGTCGTAAAAATTGTATTTAAGAAGCTACCATTATTATAGTAATATATATTTATTTGTTATTATAGTAGTATATAGTATATTATAGTAATATACAATAATTAAAAATATTAGTAATTTATATATTTTAAAGTTTCATAATATTTTTACCTACTGTTTGTACATACATGTTTGGCATTTATTCAGGCAAAGTATAACATTGTATACTGCGTTGTATTATTATACTGAAAATGCATAATTTGGAGCATATTTTTTTTATGGTCATTTAATCATTTTGTGTTTTTTAAATGCAACCCAAAATTATTATTTTATTCTGCAATAAAAATGCAAGGAATTTTCTGATAACATGAAACCATATTTTCAGGTGGCGGAACTAAACAAGTAGTAGGTACTCCACATCCGATATGACGCCAGTATAACACCACTCTACATTTTTAAAATGTGTTTTCGCTTTACTCCCACGAGCACGTCGCGGGAGGGGGGTAGGGCTGCTATTAATCTTTGTTCCTGCACCCCTCTGTCGCAGACTTGTCTTTCGTCCTCAGATATTGCTTAACCAATGCGATCTCTACAAAGATATCGCTTCGGTTAGAAATTTCTGTTATAGCTTTATATTATCCGAAAACATATATTTTTTTTTAATTTTTACTTTCTGTAAGCTTTAAAGCTAAGGATGAATTAATTTTCTGTAATGCGATTAAATTAACCAAGTAATTTTTCATTTGAACAACAAAACAAACGGATTTATTGATCACAAGTGTAGATTGAAAATTTTTGAAACATTTGATATTACATATGTGAAAAACGTTCAGCGATCCTATTCACGGTGAGGCTTTATCAATCAGCTGACTCTCATATTGCTCAGATAACGTCGATCATTTCCGAGAACGAAAATACGCAACACCATCGAAAGCGAGAGCAATGACACGCAGCGACACGCGGTAGCAAGCTGGTGGAGCCTGAAAAGCAGGCGTAGCGTCCGGCGCGTGTCCGTCGTTGGCGTCCGGCGCGTCGTGTCCGGCGTCCGGTGCCGTGGGCGGCCGCTGTGGGCGTGCAGGCGCTGCACCGCCCCGCCCCCCGCGCCCCACGCTGTTTATTCTCGGCCCGACTGGCGGGGCGCCAGTCGCCCGCGTGACGCGCAACGACACGCACGCCTGCGTCAGGTACGCTTCGAAAACGTACGGACCGAGCGGTGCATCCGACGCCGGACATTGCAAAAATTCACTCGCATCAACATTTTCGGGTAAACATCAGCGAACGTTCGGAAACGGGACGCGGAAGGGTGCAGGGCGGTGCGGAGTCGCGGAAAATGCATTTCCCGGCGGGTGCAAGGCGCAGGCGGTGCGGGCCGGGGGGAGGGTGCATGCGATGATGGACATCGTATTGATTTCTATCTGGCCGCTCCTCCCTTATTGTGGCGGTGCAGGGCGCGACATCGATCGTTGCACCGGCCCTCTAAATTAACAGCCCCCGCCGAGCGCACGTCGGCAGCTCGCAATCAATGCAGTGATCGTGTGCGTGTTCACGTTATTGTGCTAATTAAACATTTTATATTGCGTCACGTGGGTGTAAGTACGTGGAAAAATTATATTTTGGTAATAAATGACTGTAAAATCGTCTAGCTGTAATAATAATTATTAATTGATAATTCAACAATTATTTGTCAATTAGAAATACATTATATTTAATAACGTTCGACTCATATGCATTCGTAATTGCGTACACACGTAGATATATAAACCGCATACTTATATATTAATTTTGGAACAGTGTTTTGTTTTTTAATAATTCAAATTTTAAATATTGTTGTTTTATAAGTGCCAGTTCGTTAGCAGATAACATTCTATTTTTTTGGAAAACTTTTATGAACTTCTTATAAAAACTTACAATTGTTGTTTAATTATTTCTTATATCTAAATATAAAACGAAAACTACATATATTCTTGGATACTCATCATAAATCACTTAATAAATACGTACAATCTGGTGCTGTCAATATAAAAATTTGGTTAGCATAAAATAACTTTAACACATAACTTTTTTCGCGTGTGTACATACATACGATTTGTGCAGTCATTTATTTAACAAAATTCGCAACCGGCCCTGTTACCTTTCCAACCCTTGTTTCGAATAAAAATAAATCGGAAAAGTCACCGCTCGATCCGAAAAAACAGTTTACCTATCATAAAAAAAATTAAATCAATATTTCTATCCAACAGATGTAAAACAAAAACAATACAGAACATTTATGAACGGTCTAAGCAACATTTAAAAAGTAATTAAACACGCGTCCAGATAAAAAAAAGAACAGTGATTAAAAAAAAGAAAATCGACCAAAGAGTTTAGCCGTAGAAAAAGGAAGAATAAGCGAACAAGGAGGTTTCAGTTACGAAGATCGGTAGTGTTCGGCACGAAAGTGGCGGCGACGGTGGGCGCGCGCTTGGAATGCGCGGGAGTGGACACGTATAGCGCGCGCGCACGCCCCGACACAGTGCCGCCCTCAGAACACCCGGCCATGGCGACCGAAGCTGGTGAGTAACATTGTTTACTATTATAAGTGGACAGATTTATTTTTGAAATTATTACAAAACTGTTTCGACGTCTAAAAATTTTCTATGGTATGCGGCGTGCATTCGTTTATTGTTAAATTTCACTGTTACTAGAATTTCAACATCCAGATGACTATAATTGAAAGGTTCCTAGTGAGTTATAGCGGCTTTCTTGTATAGGTATTTCAAAAAAGTCTATTTTTAACAAGATTTTAAAATTAGTTTTATATTGATTACACAAAAAACATTAATATCGCACAAATCAAATCAATTTACGCAGAACAAGCAATTTGTCTGTTTTATGACGCACATTGTCGTTAAATTGTGTAGTCGGTATTTTTAGTAAATTTATAACAAAATGATCTCAAATAATGGTTTAACCTAACTTCTTACATCATTTATATAATATTCACAGCCAGAAACGTGCACAAACGTCGATTAATATTATGAGTTTAAAGCGACATTACCCATACAAATTTGACATTCATTAGATCTTAAAGGCGTCATTAAAACTTAATGGACGTTTGTGGTACTGACTGTTAGTTAATATCACGAATTTACGAGAATTTTCTATATAAAACAATTTAAGACACATTATACGGGCAAAGAATAAATAAATGTATTCACAGAATAATGTTTTCAATTTGAATAGACACAGCGAATGAAGCCCGGCCCTCTCCCAGAGGGCACAGAATAAAAATGGACCCTCGATTACAATATTTACGTAAAACAAGCCGAATTGTTTACCAACAGAATCTATACGAGGCGTACGTACGCGTGTCGTCCACCCGTCACACGTTACCGCACATGAGTTCGTTGATATTCGCCCCCGGCCCGCCCCCCGCTCCCGGTCCTGCGGGATCATCTCCCCAGGATAGGGGGTGGAATCGCCGCGGTTCTTGTTTAATGATGTTTCTGTCGTTTACTCAAGATTAGGGACTACGTTTTTTTTACTTCACATTTCTTATTTAAACGTAATTACTTTTTCTCTTAAATAGTCGAGCGAAACGTAAATAATTTTGACGTGTGATAAAGATTCTTCATTATAATTCAAAACGCATTTGGTCCCTTTATTTTATTGCAAATTATTAAAAATTCATGTTGAAATAAGATAAGAAAATCTTACGAACCAACTAACTTACTTATCAGATTACATGTTATTTAGAAATAATGCATATCTATTTGAGCTTTTATTCATGATAAAAACACTTGGTCACACTCACAAAAAAAACAGATCCTACAAAAATATAGATGTAGCGTATATTGTTTTTATAAATATTCCTAGGTACCTACATAACGCCATCCAAAGTTAAACCATTACTTTCCATTTATCATCGGTGATGTTTAAACGAGCAAAATCATTCGTACCAGGACGATTTATAATGGGCACATAATAAATCACCGAGCCATGGTAAAAATGTGGAAGTCACTACAAATGTCCTCGCGAGGGTGGCGCCGCGCCGAAGGGTGGACACTGCCGTGTTACAACATTACTCTTATACGGCTCGTCACAAAAATGATGTCTACGCAAAAAAACGTAGAACGCACTTTTCAATGACTCAATATTGAAGTACTTTTATCTCTTTAATTGTCGCCATTAGCGCGAGCGAGATTTTTAAGGATAAATTTACGCTTATGATTTCAATTTGTTCTGGGAAAATACAATCAGCCAAATCGTAATTTGTGGTAAGAGGAAAATCTGTGTATCTGTCTATATAGCTTTATTATTATACTCGCTAAAGCAAAGACAAAAACGAAAAGTAAAATTACTTTAAGTAAAGTAAAATTGTTACTGTTGAAAGCTCAGTCAGAAATCATTTAATGATAGGTAAAAATTATGAAGTCGAACAATTCAATTGTTTTCAATAAGCTCATTTGAGTAAGAAACATACACCTTATTTTTAAATGTATATATTTCAAGTCCAAGTCCTATTGATTCAGTAGGATATAAATTCAATATTCATAGCAGGCGTCAGCATTATTTTTAATATCAGCATGAGCAAAAATATATGCTGTTTTTAAAGCTGATATTGAAAATCGTAACGTGTTCGTTGAAGTTGGGACCGAGGGCAACTCAAGTAGACTTATAACCAATCTAAAGAAACTTTAAAAAACAAACTGTCGTCTATATCTAAACTACCTCATTCCACTGTTTTGTCACTTGATTTAAGCAATTTATTTATATAAGCATCAGCATGCGCTGATATTGATCTGAAAAAATCTGAATCAACCTCCGCTGCTAAGGCAAAGACCCCATCAACAACAACCCTGATTCGTAGTGCTACGAAACTCTACTACGAAATTTCCACTTCTAAATTAAGTCAAGACGATATAACGGAATATTATGAGAACGCTTGGTAGTTAGTTCACTAATAACATTATCATTAATAATAAATCCAATAAAGCCGGAGTAAACTAAAATTTCGAATACTACCCAATATTTTTAGTGCATAAAACAGATTAATTAAAAATAAATAGAGAAAATATATCAATTTTTTTCCTATATTATTGAAAAATATTCCATTAAATTATCTTTTTTTTTATAATGAGAGTATGCTTCTGGCATAAATTTCACAATACTTGCAATTGAATAACGATAGATATTTCATTTTCATTGACTGGCTTCGCTTTCCTATCGTTTTATCCCACCCTAAACAATGGTTTTCCACATTATTTACATCCACTATCCAAACAAAATAATTAAATATTTGTTTTTTATTACCAAACAATATTAAGAAAACATTATCAAATAATAATAAGCACCAGGGGAAAATACTGTTTTAATTATGAAATTAATTATTATGATTTGATCATTATAATTAAATGAAGATGATATCCGTGTGCACATAATTGTTTCTATAAAATCTCTAAAGTAGGTTGTCTTTTGTCTGCAACTGAAAGACAATAAAAAAAATATATGGTTATTATTTTTTTATTCTGAAAAGGCGCGCGTTCGATTTGAATCAAGAAACTACCCCTAAAATTACCATTTTCACGTAATTATGCTCTTTTTTATAGGGAAAACTGATAATGTGTGAGTGAACTTTGTAGTCAGGATCTATATCACTTTTATAATATTCGAAATAGTCTGCGGTTAATTAAAAAAAAGTTTATACGTACGATATTACATCCTTCCGTCCCTATCTACCTCATTACCGGGCCATGAAATAAATAGGAACACTGATTCTCTCTTTACACCCAGCCTTAACGAAGCAGCAAGAATCTCCCGATACAATAAATATCGACGGTATTTTTATACCTTAATTAAAATAAATAACACCAACTTAAAATCCATTTTAATTTACCAAATAAAAATAATAAGTAAGTAAATAAGTAAAAATACTGATAATTTAACATCAAAAAAGAGCAAAAGCAATGCTTTTGTCTGGAGGAAGCAGCAAGGACCGTCGCTGTCCTTTTTTTTCTTTTAATTCATAAATGATAATTAAAAAACAATAATAGAATATAATAATTCAGATATAATCCCTTACGAGGATTTAACATTTTACTTTTTCTATGTCACACGAGCATGTTGTATTTTAATTCTGAATATAAACAGCTTTTACTGCAAAATTTTATAGCACTAAATGCAACCAATACTGATGTAAAATTACGATGCTAAAAGAACTTTTTTGCTCCAGTTCTAATTTAGTGTGCAAACAATAAGATCTGTTTTTTAAATGTCACCCTTCGAACTAAAGATAGATCGATGGTGGATCGTCTTAAGCGAATTTCCTGAGATTAATTAGGTTTCTAAATCTCCCGAGTAGGTACCGCGACAATCCACGGAAGTTTTCAAACTCGGGTTAATTTAAAACTTCTCCGTTTGACTGCCTACGGAGAATCCGGCTGCGACGCCGATCCCCAGTTTCTTTAGCAGCATTCGACTGGTAAGCGGTAGACAGTTTAAATAAATTTTGCACTGAACAGTTTTAATGTCAGTTGTAAATTGCCAAGATAAATTCCAAAAAATATTCCTACAATTCAACCGTTCGCGGTGCCTGAGGAGGGCACCAGCTTTACCAATTGATTCGTTAATATCTCAGGCCCAGGTTAGGATTTAATTTTTTATTTATTATTTTACTATAACATAAATATCAATATGTCATTGGGATTGCTAAAATGTATTTAATTTTCTCCATTTCTTTCCACTCTTCTTTCTGATTTACGCTTCCATATATTTTCCGTGTCCATATTTTTTTGCTATAAATTTTATCCCCAAACTTTGAATTGTTAAATATTTATTAATTTCTAAGAAATGAAGATTAGAGACGTCATATTGGAAGAACTTATCCTCATTAGTACATTAAAATTTTATATAATCAATTGGTAATTGAATGCTTTTATTCAAGTGCGCATCTTGAAAAGTAATAAAAAAAAATATATAAATCAGAGCACACTTCTGAACGACGGAAGTTATTTTTCACCGATGTAGAGCAGATAGCAATGATACATGCTCTCTTGAGTAAATGAGTGACGTCGCACGCGCTCATTTCCCGCTATGTTTTTATATTTTCACCGACGATATATTTAATGGAATCTAACTCCGTCACTGGCTTTACGATATTTTCTTGTTCTCAATGTTAAGTAACAAATTAATTTAGTACCTGCCTTTGTATATCCATGATTTAGGAATTCGTTTTGGTAATACGCCAATTTTATGACGATGAAATCGTTTAGGAGTCTTAGGTAAACTATTATATTAAACTCGCTTCACGGACGCAACAACAAAGCACCTAGTTTAAAGAAAAATAAAAACTATATATATTACAAATGCAGTAAATTATTTTATGAAATGTGTTGACCGACTGCTGCTTTTTGAAGTGTGCTTCTTCGTTTCATTTTTTTAAGTTACGCAGCAAAATGAATTCCGTTTTTTTTTAAACTAATAGAGTAGTTCGATTGCGTAGTGGATTGACGTTGCGGCCCGTGATCATTATTGTTAAGTAACTTTCGCAGGAGACGGTCCCGGGATGGGTGTTAAAAAATTATTACCTCGAGCTACTCTGTCTTTCGGAAGCCACGTTAAGCTATTGGTCCAGGTCCAATCAGCGTGGTGGGTTATGGTCCATCCTGCTTAACCATCCATGATGTTTCCTTATGTGTGGAGCCCCTTCAGTGGGGACGTAAATAATTAACAAATAAAGAAAGCTTTGTTTTTATTTAATTCCTTAAAATATCCTATATTTGTTCTTATTGGACTGTTTGCTATTCGCGAAAATAAAGTTTACCTACGTAAGTATAGAGAAGAGCCTTCAACACCCCGCAAGATTGATAGACGCAGGTTAACCAGCTTTAGGAGTTATCGTCTGTCATGTGCAAGCCGTTTAAGTTAGAAAGAGCATTAATAGATGCCGATTTCTCAACTCGCTTATGAATTATGATAAGTATTTTTTTTTTTAGAAAAGTATAAAATAAGCTGAATTATTAGATCTCAATTACATCTCGACTGTGATATTCACGTAAAACCGTTAGTTTTGCTATTCTTGATCTCTGCATTAAAAATATTTGAATAATTTTGAATTTGTGAATAGTGAAGAATAAGTGTTGGAGAACTTCGTAGCGGTTTCGCTTTTTTTAAATTGCGCTTAAGTTTTTAATTAAAACCGAAATTGTAGAGAACGAATTTCTGAAAATCTGGGAGGCTTTTTTGAGCTTCTGAATTTATGTACTGATCTAAACATATGAAATAAAAAAAAAATATTACTACTTACAATGGTCGTATAGTTCGTAGTGGCCTCGAAATTTTGAATAAATTTAGAAAAGAAACTTATATGAACCAAAAAACTTCGAGAATTCTTTTATGTTAGGTACTATGCATATCTCCAATGTAATGTAGGATAATATTATTGAACAAAATCTATACCAAAACAATTATTACATCATAAGGAATAAAAACAAGTACGTAAAACATTTTATAAATGTTTTTTATATAGGTGTTTACTGATATATTTTTCTGAAATAAAAGAAAAACAACGTGTCTTTTACCAATGACAGATTCAAACTTCTTCAAATATCTATCTGATTCCATCCAAATTATTAAATAACAATATTCATGTGTAATATTTAAACTTAAAAGCTCGTTTTAAAATTTTCGGGTATTGAAATTGGATTGATTATACAAATTTTTATAATCAATCCAATTTCAATACCCTGATTAATTATAAAATTGCTAACCTGAAAAGATTTTAATTTCAATTGATCAATTAATTTGCAAAATAATTAAGAAACTTTTTAAATACAATGTATTTAAAGATAAATCTTAGTATCAACATGTAGTACCTTTTTAGTACCAACATATTAGGGCGATTGCGCAATGTAAACAAATAAACATGTACATCTCTTTTTGCAAAAATATTACGTGCCACATGAAAATTATTATTATTCGTATATATATTTTTTCCATTATAAGTATATGTAATCGGGTCTTGTTCGTGCATTTTTTATTTTTTAAAACTATTAATTTACCTCGACGTTTCGGCTACGTTACAGCAGCCGTGGTCACGAGGAGACTGGAGAACTGGTGGGTGTCGTCTTCTGATTTTAGTTGAGGCGTGAGGGTAATCCGGCAATAATGTTTTTAACAGATTTTCGTAAAGGTACGTACCCTTTACGTACAATAAAATCAAGTGGAGGGTACATCTGAAAAACGTCGAGGTAAATTAATAGTTTTAAAAAATTAAAAATGCACGAACAAGACCCTATTACATATAATTATGATGTATACAAATCGTGTGAGTTTAAAAATATTTCTTCCAGTTCCAAAGTAAATAGTTTTCAATGAAATTGGCCATTCCCATGTCACCGAAACTACTGCGGCGAAAGTTTTGAAAAATTTACATAAATATAAAACCTAGGAAGTTTACGATTTCCTTAAATCTCTGTGCAGTATCCTCTGCTTGTGAGATAGTCTCGCTGTTGGTCAGTTTTTTTTATTTCACCATGTCCTTGGTAGCCGAGTGGTTTGCACGCTGGTTTCGAGACGTTTCGAGATCCCATCTCCGAGGTCCCGGGTTCGATTTCTGATCAGGTTAATATAGAAAATGAACTTTTCTTTATCGCCACAGGCCTGGGTGTAATCGTACGATCGTTGTTTCAGATTTCCGTAGTACAAATGTTATAGCCTAAAGAAGCTGTTGGTATCTGCGAAAAACGTTTTTATCGTAACATTCTTTCTTCATCTATAATATGTTTTAAGTTCTTCTCTATATTGGTGTTTTTGTGAAACGAAACCAAATCATTTTTAAGGAGATCCTTTGAAATTATTACAAAAAACAAGAACATATTAAATAACATGCTTTGAGAATTTACGATTGCTCGTCATGTTTCGATTTTCAAAGGTCCATCAAAAACACATCAATATGGATAAGGCAGATCAAAAAATGATTCACTCCGAAGGCTTCAACACTCGTATCTATAGTCGAGAGAAGTAATTACTTGAGAATATATCATAATAAGGACATATTTGCATCAAATAATCAAGAATTTGAATGAAGTCACGATTTACTAAAGTTGGTATACTATTATTATTAGCTATTAAAAATTCTTATATTGTTCCCTTCTTCTTATATTGTTTAAAAATAGTAATTAGTTCTCTTGACTATAGACGAGTGTTAATCAGTAAAGGTTCTTTTGATCAGACTAAAATCTTAGTTGATATTTGCAAAGAACAACTAGACATTTTTAAGGACATTAATTGATCATAATATCAATTTATATATAACCAGCGACCCGACTCGGCTTCACAGGAAAATAAACTTTCTCATGCCATAAGTCTTCGAAACACCAATACTTAAATTTCCTTTTATAGTTTTGATCGTCAAAATTTCTTCAAAATACCTACTCCATAAATTTTAAATAATATTCTGCTCGATGCGAGTTCATGTTCATGAAACTTCTATTAACGCCGGACGGAGGTTTTCTCTAGCAGATATCACATCACACATCACCAGCCCTTTTACGTCCCCACTGCAGGGGCTCAGGCCTTCCTTATGGATGGTTAAGGAGGATGGGCCATGACCCTCCACGCTGGCCCAATGCGGATTGGAGGGTATTAACGACTGCAAACGCAGCCGGGACCAACGGCTTAACGTGCCTTCCGAAGCACGGAGTAGCTCGAGATAATAATTTTTTGGTCACCCATCCCGTGACCGACCCTTGCGAAAGTTGCTTAACGACTACGATCACGGGCCGCGGCGCTAATCCACTACGCCACCGAGCTCTCTAGCAGATATCGGTGAACGTATATCCATACTCTTTGAACGTAGAATCTCCTCCTTTATTGTGAAAGATCAACAAATTTCTGTAGCGCCAACCACAAAAGTACATCTCGAGATTCCCCGTGCTTCGTGAGGTATACAACTATTTTTTAACGTCTAATTGGGTGGATTGCCTGAACATTGATAAAAATACACTCTGTAGTAACGAAAAAGTAAAACGAGTGCTTGAAAAAATTGGTCTCTCCTGTTAGGTCCTGACTAGGTCAGCGGTTAGAGGTCGCCCGGATTGCGAAAGGTCATAGGTTCGAATCCCATCTCAGAGTGGCAGGGACAAAGTGGATTTTTTAAGGATTTTTCTTTAACAATATTATCCACCAATACCTCCCCCCGCGTGATTAGTACCAGCACTTTTAATGACATAATTGTTCCCACCGTGTGACATAGGTATTTCATATTTTGTCGCGTTTTTGTGCGCTTATGTTTTATTTGAACAAAGGAGTGTTCATTTTTTATACACCTATCAACGTTACGTCCTTGTGCTGGATTTAAGCTCTTTCTCTTCATGTTCCTTCACGAGTTCCAAATCAAAACGCCTGCTTAATAAAAATAAATAACAATCTTCACCCGACACGAGTCCCAGCCATTATGCTACGAGTGCTAATGTGATATTTTTTTTTGTCTCTCACCCTTTGATCAGTCCTACCAAAAATTACTTCACTTCCACATCACATCATCACATAAATGTGTTTCTAAATGCTCAATCTCTACAAATAATTACTTATATGACACCGAAGTGTAAGTATGCTGATTTCATTAATATTGCGCAGGCGGCGCCGCGGCCGGCGGCGAGCAACAATATTCGTTGCGGTGGAACGACTTCCATTCGGCGATGGTCTCGTCATTCCGGCGGTTGCGAGACGAGGAGGACTTCGTGGACGTCACACTCGCTTGCGCCGGTGCCACATTTACAGCGCACAAGGTACCACCATCTTAATATTTTGAAATAGCCTGCCTATTTTATTTTGTTTCATATACTAATGTTAATTTTATTTTGATGTCACGTTATAACATTTATTACTGTATTATTTAGGTGGTGCTATCAGCATGTAGTCCTTACTTTCGAAAATTACTAAAGGCGAATCCATGCCAACATCCTATCGTTATCCTCAGGGATGTTCATGATAAAGATATGGAGAGCTTACTTAGGTACGTAGTGTACAATTGATTCAATAATTTCTTAAAAACGTGAAATTTCTGCAAAGCACTAACACTTAATTAATTGCCTATCGTTCGTTAACTAATTCACTGCATCGCTACAGGTTCATGTACCAGGGCGAAGTACACATAGGTCAGGAACAACTAAAAGAATTTTTAAGAGCCGCTCAGTTACTGCAAGTACGAGGGCTTACAGATGTGCCTGCACCTGCACCTGTACCTACTCTAGACCAGAAGGCCTCACCGGTAAGGAATTTAAAAAGACTTCAATTGGCGACATGTTGGGCGCCAGTTATAAACTTTTTCTCTTGTACTTAATTATTAAATATTATTTGACAGCAATCTGTATCCTCATGGACGGAAACCGGTAGCGGTGGTTCACGGGAAGGTAGAGATATCCAACAACGTGAAGGCAGAAGAGCACGAAGACCTGAAGAAGGTGCAAACAATACTCCACCTCCAAAACGTGCCAGATCATCAGACTTATATCAAGCGCAAATGAAATCTAGGTATAAACCTTTAAAATTATATTTCCATAACATTAATGTTCAAGGTTTTAATGTGTCTTAAATGATAATTATCTCTGATTAACAGGACAGAACAGATACTGGCACAGCACACGAGCGGTAGCCCAGAACGATTAGGAACCAACGGCCACGAATTATCTTTATTTAGTCAAGCTTTGGATGGCACACAAGGAGTTCATATGACTGGAGTCTCTAATAATTTGGTATGTTCGTTTCGTCACCCATTCCTCTCGACTCACTATTACCTTACATTATTACCTTATCGTCGCTTTATTACGTTATATTTGGAAATGGCAAACTGCTATTAGAACTTTAACTATAAATGAAGGATCTGAACTCTTAACTAAGTACACTGCCTGTTTTGTTTTCGTTCTAGCATTTACCTTACATTCTTTACATTGTTTCTAGTCAGGGGATGGTGAGGAGTCATCATCAGACGCAGGTGTCAGCGATTCCGAGACAGAACCACGCGCTAAACAAGAACCGCTGGATTACGACGACCCGGCGACCATGGCCAATACTAACGGCGCGCTGCCACATAGTTTTCCAGGACTACTCAATTTACCAGGTATACTGACGTGAAAGGAAGGACTGGCAATTAAATTAAATATTTTACATACAGTCCAGTATATCAAAGCTTGGTCATACAATTTTGCTGGAAAGAAAGCCTATATATATTTAAAAAGTAGTAAGAAAGTATATATTTTAAAATAGAGTACAAAATTTACAGTATAAGTGAAGATAATAAAATAGTTTTCTATAATAGATGTCCTTTATCCGGCAGGCTTCCCCGGATTACCGGGACCTTCAGGAATGCCAGATAATTATGGTAAGTTAATCATCATTTACCACTAACATTTAGTTTACCATATGACTCAATGATAAACAAAGAAAATGTTAGTATTTTCCTAAATACTCAATACGCAAATGAGACAATGAAAAACCAATTAATATTTAACAGAATTAATTAATTCTAATCTCTAGTGCAATGAGAATTTATAAAAATATACCATTGTATCATTAATTGTACATTATTGAGTCATGTAGTGCATGCCGTCAACAACACTAACAATTAAATAACGAGAACGACACCTGAGCGCTTAATTACTCTATTAAACCGTCAGATAAACTAACGCTATGCCCCGATAACTAGTACACGTACCTAACGCAATTAGGAAAATCTAAGCAACAATGGAAGGACCGTCGTTTAAAATCTCAAAAGAGTCGTCACCGTAGACGCGGAGTAGGCATCGCACGATCGAATACATAGGCCTAGGAGCGAGCATTGAACGAGACCTCATCTGCCCCAGGAGCGACCTGGTCCAGCGGCGGCGACGGCAAGCCGAGCGGCAAACCCGAGGAGCGGTACCAGTACCAGCCCGCCCCGCCCTACACTAACGGTGAGGCCCCCAGGCCCGCCTGCCCGCAGTGCGGCAAGCTCTACAGCAACAATAGCAACCTCAAGCAACATCTGCTCAACGTGCACGCCGCGCACACGCTCGCCCACTCCTGCCCCGTCTGCGGCAAGGGCTTCAAGACGCGCCAGTACATGCAGATACACATGAACTCGATACACGGCGTCAAACAGAGGAGGCGCGACCCCGCCCCGTCCGCTGACCGTTGCGAACGATACACTCACAATAGCGTTTAAACGAACTTGTAACCGGATCAATGTGTCTAACCGCCGCCTCTGTGTTCACAGGGGCGGCTCTCGCGGGCGGGGCGGCGATGGGCTACCGGCCGCAGTGTCCTCTGTGCGGCCGCGTCTACTCCTCCACCTCCAACCTGCGCCAGCATATGCTCAATGTGCATTCGCAGACCGACCGCGACCAGTGGTTCCCTTGCCAGCACTGCGGGAAGAAGTGCAAAACGAAGCATTACCTCATCAACCACCAGCTGCAAGCGCACGGCATCCGCCAGCGGCAGAACTCTTAGAGACGGCGCGACGCCGAGAGACCCCCACCCCCCGCGCACCCGCCGTTCGGCGTCTGGTGGTGATGCCCGTCCCTCGCGCGTCCTCTGCGTACCGAGCCGCTCGGAGGCGACCCGATCGCCGGACGATAGACGTCAGAAACGGTCGTGCCAACGGACCGCGTCGACCGAGAAGCGGTCCCCGAGCGATACATATTATTATATATACATAGCATACGTAATATTTTTAGAGAGTTTATTGCGTTCGTCGGTAGAGGGTGGAAGGGGACGTCGGGTTTGCCAACCGCTCAGCCGCTTGCTATTCGCGCAGTAACATGGTAGTGTCGGCGTTGCAGATGGCGGCGCGTTGGCAAACCCGGCGGGGAGCGCGGGGGGTGTGGGGTGGGAGGCGCGGCGGGTGCAGTGCCCGCTGTGCCTGGCGCGCGTGGGCTCGCTGGCGGCGGCGCGCGCGCACCTGGCGGCGCACTACCCGCGCGACAGCCCCGTGTGCCCGGTGGCCGCCTGCGCGCGCTACTTCGCGCACCCCAACTCCGTGCGCAACCACATGCGCATCAAACACCGCCGCCAGTGGGAGAAGATGAAGACGCTCAAGTGGAGCTGCGGCTGGGCCGCCTGAGCGCCCGCGCTCGGGCCGCGACGCGACGAAAGCTTAGATTTGACAAAACGGCTGTGAAATGGAACTACACGGTGGGGCTCGCGATTCGCCGTATAGAATCGAGAATACCGATCTCCGGGATGCATTTTCATATTTCGGTGTTACTTTTGTGAGTACGCGATCGTGTAAAGCGATTAGATTAAATCGACTGAAAATTATTTTTGTAGTAGAATAGACTGATATCGTTTAGGTAAGGATATTTAATGTAAGCGCATTATGACATGTGATGAATGGTGCCATTGATAGATTACGAAGTGCGACAGAGTATGTCGGCCGTTCTCGTGACTTCCCGAATGTCTCTATACTTCCATTGTTGCTTCGATTGTTTCTATATACCTACCGTTTCTTCCTATCTGCCTTTGGTCCGAGATGTCCTATATTATAATGTTCGATTGTAACTATCTACTCGATAGAAGCTTTAAGGTGACAGATGTGTTCAATATTGTACTATCAGGACATCCGTGAACGACTTAGAGGAATAAATCTATTTCCATACTAATACGAATGGAATTAAACTTACTTTTATGTATATTTAAAGGTATCATACCGCCTCTTCTTTACGTGTTTATACTTTTGACCATAGATAAGACAATACGAAATAGAGTAAAGAGATGTAATGCCTTTGAACGCAATAGTTAAGGGTGTGTTTCTTCCAGCTAATAGAGTATTTATTTTCGAAAAGATGTTCATGACGCAATTAATGCTAATGCACAATCTAAAACATATCTAGTCAACGTAGACAAACTTACGAGAATACGAGATGGATTTATTTAACTTTTATGTAAATAGAAGACAATTCCATTCGCATATATTTTCTTATTAAGAACATTCAGTAAGATAAATTTTATTCTATTATACATTTTTTTGGAAACAACGTTATTAAAAACAAATACTTAAGTAGAAATAATAAATAGACTGGAATTAGTTTTGGACACATAGTGATAGAATTAAAGATAATATCAATATAATATAAACAAAACATGAAATGCAATAATAAAGCCTTAAAATTGACGTGCTCAAACCTATTTCCGAAGTTATTCAATGTTAAATGTAAAGAAGAAATAAATAAATGATGTCTTATGTCTAGATGATCAACTCATCAAGTACACGTTACAAATGTTGAAAATGGCAAGGCTTGACAGCAAGAATCAGTGATACATATTGAAGTAAAACTAATTTATATAGATACATTCCATTATTACTTATACGAAAGATTTCAAAAAAGTTATAAAAAGAAGGACCTATGTTACAACCTAGTGGTACTCACTATGAGCCAAACAGAAAGTTCATAAGTGGAACATGATTCTAGTGTATAGAAAATAATTTGTGTATTGTAATATCTTATCCCAATGAAATAAAGAGTATTTAGTGACTCAGTTAACTTTACATGGTTGACCTCTAAGGTAAAAGAAGCCATAACTCTAATAGAAAATGTTTATTATAAACAAGGTTAAGTTGAAAAGGGTAAAAAATATCGTATAGATTAGTTTTTATTCAATTATTACCAGTTCCCAATATAAGTCAATATTGGGAATTTATTTATAAAACAAAATACTACAATAACATAATAGTTCAGTCGGAGTGCCCTTAAAATATATGCGATAGGAACCGCGACGATAGATCTCCAAAAAAATATAAAAGTATTGATTAATAATTTAGTGAGTAGTTGAAATTGTTCCTGACGCCTCAGAGGCAATGTCTTATATCTTATTATATAATAAAAAACATAATGTTAAGCGTACAACAATGTAAATTTAGTCATTTCAATAACCAAATGTTCAATGTGAGTAAACGACACTAGTTGCGATTGTATTAGTGATACGATATATACGTAATAATTTAATTTTTACCCGAAAAAAAAGTGTCTGCTTATATAAATAAATACATAAACAATAAAACTACCAAGTAGAATGTTGTCTTTCAATTAGACGTCATTTGTAGAACAATTCGTCACGTCCATAGTACTTCAGTACACTGATAAATTTGCTTTGATTCTCACCAATTTCCACCTACGTAATGTATTAAGTGTATCGCACTAACAATAAGATGAGCTTTTTATTTAATATATTATGAGGCGATGAACGCAAAACAGGTAAGGTTCCACAACAAACTTATACTTATTAGTATCTCTACTCAAAAACGATACTCAATAATTCAAAGTTTAATAATACATTTTATTTAAGTGAACGATATAAGAATTTAGTAGGGAAAAACTCTACTATTCGAGCAAAATTTATAACTAAATCAAAGTCACAAAGAGATTAAATAATAAAAAAAAATGCTTTCTTTGAGTACCGAAATTGAATAAAGATGCGAGCTTATAGCACGAGTAGTATCATCGAGCATTATTATTAACTACAACCCATTCTCACAGGAGGTTGTAGACGGACGCAGGATCTGCTCAGAGTACGGGCTACGGACCCGCGGCCCTGCCCCAAATGCGGCAAAATCTATCGCTCCGCTCACACGCTGCGCACACATCTCGAAGACAAACACACTGTGTGCCCTGGTTACCGGTAAGTTACATATGAAAATACCCTAAGAGTCCAAAGTTTTTATGGTCAAACGTTCCTAAAGAAACACTACACAACCAATGGTACATATTAAACATTCTTTATGTTGAATGAATACAATAAATTTCAGTTATAGTTTAAATTTTCGATAATTTATATGGAAAATAGGGAACTATCTTTACCAATACTTCGCCTAATTTGAAGTCATCATGACCACTATAAAAGTTCAGACTTGAAAGATATATTATTCTCTTCAGCTGCGTATTATGCGGCACGGTAGCGAAGTCGCGTAACTCACTGCACTCGCACATGTCGCGACAACACCGCGGCATATCCACCAAGGATTTACCCGTGCTGCAGATGCCTACTAGATTCGACCCGGAGCTAGCCAGCCAGTGAGTATGACTACAATGCTTTGAAATTTATTAAAATTCTTCTACCCTGGTTATTTGGAGATTCTTACTACTTATTATGACGTCCATACAGACTGTTAGCGAAGGCAGGCGTGAAAGTGTCCCCAGAGCAGCTGAGAGCGAGAGCTTCGCCGACTGGTCCACGGCGATCAGACATAAAGCTGGATGCAAAGTCTGCCGCGTCCGAGAGCAGCTCAGTCTGTGGCGACAACGATAATGATGACTTGAGCCAATCACGCTACCAGGACAACATACCCGTCTCCCCACCGCGTGAGTATTAGAGCAGAATCAAATTGTTTGATTTTCAAAAGATTTTGAATGTTACATTTTCACATTTGAATGGGCATATGAGAAGGGATTGTAGCAGGGACTAACGAATCAACGCGTTTTCTGACACATTTAAGAGTTCGTAAAATTTTGTCACCCATCTGACGACCGACTTATACACAAGTTGTTTAATCTCCTCAATCTAAATCCAAACTCGCTAACCACTGCATCATCAAGCTCCTTTGTTTCAGTAACATTAAAAATCATTAAACGCTTTTCATGCAGATATAAATAATCTGGCGAACACGACGATCACGAAGGTGCCAGCTGTACGAGCAGTAACGGCAAAGACGGTGGAGAATCTACCACATTCACTCGTAGGCCTCAAGCATGACGATTACCCACCACCCTACGGCAACTCGGCTATTCTAGACACTTATATGCAGTACTTCGGTGAGAATTTATTCGGTGAGAACTCTATCAACATACAAGACTGTTTCCTACGTTTTCAGACAACTAATATCTTAAACTTAATTTTTTTCAAAGGAATCTAATAATTTTGAAAATTTGTAAATCCAATAAGTCCTTATGAAACTCTAACCTACTTGTCTCTTTACCTAACATTATCTATTTTTATTTTTTATTTTCCATGCAGGCATGAATGCTGCAAAACTAGCACAAATGACAGCTATAAACATGGAAAGGAAAACGTACGACGAGCCGTCACCGCAGATGGGATCGCTGCCACCGACGCACACGCACACACTCGCGCACCAGCGGTTCCTGAAGCAGATGCAGCGGCAGTACAGCGACGGGGTCAACAAACCCGACATCACGCGCGGCTCCGACGAACCGCTCGACCTCGGCAAGGAGCGGCAACGCGACGACAGCGCCGGCGACATGGACGTCGAACGAAACGACCCCGCGGACAAGGACACCAACAAGGAGTTCAACGACGACGGACGGAAACGCGCGAACAGCTCCGAGGAGCGCGACCACAGCGGGCACGACGACGGCGAATACTCCGAGGACGAGCACAAAAACGCCTCATGAAATGACGCCAGCGTCTAGTCCGTGGACTGCGTGCGGGACGGTTCTGTTGAAGGTATTTCAAAAGGTGCTTGAGTGTTATGTTTTGTGGTCGTAGCTGATTCGTTTTGCGGTTAAAACGTTGACCCGTGGAATGTCGTTGGTGCCATTTCCGATAACTTAATGTAAATTAAAGTTTAGAGTAAGACGGTCCGAGCCCGCGACCGGCCTCCCTCCGAGTCCGCACTTGTGGGGGTGAAAGACGATGACGGTGCCGAGGTCGTCGACGATGCTTTTTTGTTGTTTACGAGAGCTCGCCTTGAACTACCCTACGATCGATGTTGGGTATACGCGAATCATTCTATACATTAATTTCCTGGACCGCACCCATTAGCCCCGAGTTCACTCTGTTAGTATCGTCGACTCGCCACTCGTTCGTGAGATTGTTTTAGTAGTTAAAGAGACTAGTGAGTAGTGTTTTGTATTGTGTATGTAAGGTCCCTTTCACATAGTAGGGCCACTTACATAGTTATTCCATCCATCTACCTCAGCATTTGGGCCAACGCGGCGACGTTATAAAATATTTAAAAAAAATATCCACACAAATTGTGAAATTCCATCCATCTACCTCACTTCAATAGATTTTATTTAATATTTTATACAATTTATAGATATTAATAACTGTTGTTTTATGCATTTTGCAGATTGCATTTATATATACTATATAGAGTATATTGTAGGTAAATATATGCAAGTCATTAGATCATTGTTAGTGCTGCCCGTAGATACTCGTTTACCGTTTATTTTATATAGTATACGCACTCACTAGACAAATTTAGACTGTGTCACAACTGTAGCGAGTTATAGACGCAACCTCTCTATATCAATGAGCACACTAACTTGTATGAATATCTTTGTATACGATAAACATTACAGAGCTTAAAATGTTAAATATTTTTAAATATGCGTATTACGAAACGCATTACAAATTATACCACGATAATAATTTTAACGATAATAATGAATGGATATAAATAAAATTTTTAGATCGTATTTTGACATCTACGAGAGCATTTCTTTGACTGCCTTGAGACTGATCTATTATTTCTAAAAAGTGCGGTGCGCACGCGCACACAGCTAACCGCTTGAGAATAAAGTTCAAATTCGACAGTTGAGAAATCGTATAAACTTGTATAACAATGTATATAAACTGAGGTGATATGTAAAGTACATAATAATAATAAATATTAACAAATAGAAACAAAAAGCAATAAATAAAGTATACCTTGATGTTGCCTTCGGATATGTGTAAATAGAATATGGGTAGTTAACAGTTTGTGTTGGTTTGAACCTTATATTAGTGACAAGAAGGTTTATTTTGTGGTAATGATGTGGGCTCGTTACTTAAATAACAATTACTGTGATTACAATCTCATGTTAGCCTTCAATACTTATACATATTTTTTAGAGTACAATGTTATAGTTATTTAGTATATTGTAAGATAATTCGTAAGTGAGTCACAAGATTATATTTACTTCCTTAAACATTAGAATTCACGTTATTTAAGTATTTAGAGCAATAGGAGAAGCATTTAACCTTTTATATGAGAGATATTAGAAGTCTATGAATTTATTGAGATGTACTACCATTTACTGCCACGTACTATATAGATAGTATATGCTGACGCAATGGAACAAATGCACTTTAACGATCAAATAGTCTTCCACACAGAATTCAGCTCTATAAGCATGTACAAAAACAAAAAATATACTTTAACTACTTAAGAAATCGTGAAATAATAAAATACATCACAATAAATTCATAGACGAGTTTAGTGTAAGAGCTACGGGTTGATTGATAACATTGACATATTTGTTTAGTGTGTTAGGGACGAAATTCGTCTGTTTGGTTTGCGTACAATATAACCTTGTTGACAGTGTTGCCATAGTGATTTATTACGACTGTACATACGTCTTGTTTGGAGATTAGTGCTTATTTGATTTAAGTTGATATTAAACACATGTTTAGTGTTTTGTGAATATTTTCTAAGTAATATCGTTACTCAACAAACTGGTTCGATTGATTATTTTATTATTTTTCATATTTTCCAATGTAATACTGAGAATGCGATCACCTGGCAAGGTTTGGAGTCGTATCTATTAACGGTTTGTGAAACTATGAAAATTTTCAAATAACAAAAACCATCTAATAGATATTTGCACGTTATTTATAAATAAATTACTTAATATAAACCAATAGTCAGTTACCAGAAAATTATTAAGAAATAAATACATATTATATACATATATTTTTACAGAACACACTCAATACTACATATAAAATAAAACTACAGTGCCAAATACCTGAAGTTACATCGGCTACATATTAAGCAATATTAACATGTATGACGTCGTGTTAGAGTTTAGAATGGCTCGATCATGAACCGTGATGCGATGTGACTCAACTTGCACTGTATACTGTTGTTGATTTTACAAAATATTATTATTATACCAGTGGAAATATAAGTAGGACTTTAAGTCGACTATTATTGTCTTTGTATAATACTTATATTTAGTTACCTTATGAACTTTGGAAGTTCGCATTTAGTGTCTTTTTCTTCATATTTTTTTTAATTACTACTTTACCTCATTAGCATGACCGTTCATGTAAAACTCATTTTAATTAATTCTTGTAATTTAATTATTCTTTATGATAACTTTGTTACCGTCTAGTTTGATATAGTGCCCGAGTTTACAGTATATTTTTGTCTTTGAACAATACAAGAATCTCTCTTCAGAAAATCCAAGTCAGGCGTGTTTAGTTAAAACTGTTTCAACCAAGACGGGTAACAAACACAACATTTAGGGTCAATGCAAACCTAACGGAAGATCCGTTGAGCTAGTACGTACGCGTTATTACGCTCGACGGAATAATGGATTAACTGTAATGTACAAGCTTGAATTTCATATTATATGTTTACAGTTCTGTCGTTCCGTGACGGATGACACGCAACGGATCTCCCGTCAGATATGCACTGGCCCTTATAGACTAGCGATTCATTAGTGAGCACAAACATTAAACCTAAACTCTGGTTGGTGTATTCGAGTAGTTATTAGTTTACTTGAGGTGTTGACATTATTTTTAACCAGCGGTATAATTCTATACTTAAGCTCTCTACTTCAATTTGTTCTATTTGAATGAATATGAACTAAATTCGGAAGCCATTGTTGATCTAAATTTGGTTTTGTTTCATGATCTCGTTATGTTTTCGGTATTGTTATTTTGTTCGTCGGTGGCATTATTACTGTATACGACTGGGCTAGTGGCCACCTTCCATTACTTAAATATATATGTTAACTAGCAATTGCCAAAATACGACCATAGATTAACAATTGTGTACCCTATTCTGATACAATTAAGTTCGAATTTGAATCTCGTTTAGGCGTTTACGCACAGAACAATATGACCCTAGACATCACAAAAAGGTAGGGAAGTGTTATTAAGTTGTAACAGGACATACACGCCTTCGCCATTTCGTACGTTAGTGTACTAGACGTATGCCGCTTCACTACATTATTATATACAACATAATAAAAATAATTGTTTTGAACGTGTGTCGTTTGATTCTATACATACCCAAAACGCTTGTATATCTATATATAGGTATAAAAGCGAAAGGTCACTCACTCACTCACTCATAATGAAATCTCAGAAATTACAAGTATTAGGAGTTTCATATTTTGCATACGGGTTCTTTTTAAGACGTAGCTGCTCACTAAGACGGGGTTTTTATGAAATTCAACCCCTAAGGGGAGAAATTAGGGGATGATAGTTTGTATGAAACTTCATTACTAAAAGTGCTAGGAGTTTCAAATTTTGTATGCGGGTTCTTTTTAGGACGTAGGTGTTCACTGAGACGGGATTTCGCGAAATACGACCCCTAAGGGGGTAAATTAGGGGATGATTTATTTTTATGGGGATTTTCTCATTTCTGGACTTGAAAACTAGATATGAAGCTGGCGGAAAGCTAGTTTTATATAAAATAAATATAAATAGGATTTTTTCACATCACATTATCAGAATTTTAATAACTTTGAATTACCCCTCTCCTTACGTAAACGTTAGCATATACATATATAAAAATACAGAAATAATAAACATAATATTAGTGACGTCACCACCATCCAGACGCTGCTAACCTCTTTGTACTGCAACTAAGAGCTTTAGAGCTTACTTAATATTTAAATGGCCCCCAAACACGATAACGAATTATATAAAAGTCTGTCTAAAACAAAAAACATATTTTATTAAATGGAATTATTTTGACATTTTTTTTATTTTATACATAGTAATTGAATATCGACGACGCGCTTAAAAATACAAAATAGTGCCTAAAGCTAATAAGAAAAAAATACATAACATTTATCACATAAACCACTAGAGCATGGATGATTTTAAATATCAGTGGACTACATTTAGTCGATAAAAATATATTTATTTGGTGTAGAGCATCAATGAGGCATTTTATACCAAGATACATTTGTACAAAAGGATGTCTAAATAAACTAACAACACTTTGAAAGCTGTTTAAAAAAGTGTCTCACTGAGTGGCAATATCCGAAAGGAACTCCCCTACTCCTGTTTAGTGTCTTTCTTCTTAGTGTAGAGGGACCGAACGCCTATGATGGCGTTCACTCTGTAACAACAATTTGAACGATTAGCTTTACTACGCTTTAGACACTATTTATTTATACAATTACTAATTGTATTCCCGCGACTTCTCCCACGAAAATTATATTAATGACAACCGCGTATGATGTAACTTCCCATAGGAGAAAATTTTCAAAACAATACTTTTCTTTTTATAATATTAGTATAGATTTTTAATCAATGGACATATGGGATAGTACTATGCACTAACGGAGAAAAACCTTGAGTGGACAATAATATGACATTATATAATAAAGAATGTTCACTAATTTTTAATTTAAACAAGACTGCATAGTTGGCCACTGTTGATTATATAAAACAAACAAAAAGAAACACTTAGGTGAAGTTAGAGTATGTAGAATCTCATAGATGAAATAATTTTAAAAATCATAATGCAAATGATGTTACGTAACTGATAATACACAACAGAGCCTCAGTCAGACTTGCACATATCCCAAGAGTGTGAATTATGTCACTCATGAGATTTTTTGATGAGAGAGATGATAAAAAAAAATATCGCAATACTTACAGTAGAAAAGCCAAATGCTATTTTTTGGAGGAGGCGAGTGCTATGCCTAGTCCAACGAGTCCGCCGAGAGCGAGCACAGCTCCGCCCGCTACTGCTATACCCATCAGACCCTCCTTTTCCATACGCTTATTAATTTGTCGCTAAAATTAAATAAACAGCAAGCAATCATTAACAAATTCCACCACATACATTGCTCAGATCTCAATTTAATTAGCTAAATCCCTCATTTTGTTATTGCTCATTTTGGGAAAGACAGCCTTAAACTGTGAAATCTCATCAACACATTAGTGTTACTACAGAATATCAAACTGCAATCAATTTTAAATAAAATTAATCTTAAAACTGATTGACGAAAGATCTTTATGGTTAGTGTCATCAGAAAAATATGTAAGACTGTACACACCTCCAATGCCAGTACTTGCTGGTTAGCAGGTTCAATTTCTAAAAATGATTTCACATAATGCAGGGCTTTGTTATACTCCTTGATTCTAGCATTTCCAATGGCAAGATAGAACAGGTAATCTCGTTTGCCATCTGTATGTGAATTAAACAATTCTTTGAGTAGAAGGATACCCTAAAAACAATAAAATGTAAAGTAATACAAGTGAAAATATAAAACTGAAACAATTTCATATAAGTGGGATAAAGGTGATTTGTGATGTTCCTTCCTTTTTTGAACAGCTAAGGAATGGAATGTATTGCCTGGTCACGTATTGAGCACGGCCCATTGTGCACTCACTTTAAAGTACAATGTCTCAAGAACGAATTTAATATACATATAACTAATAATACTTTAATACTATTGTCAAAAAGCATTAAGCTAAGGGATAAGGGCCAAGAAATGTAACAAAGTATTAATGGTCTATTTTCATTTATAAAATTCTATTTATAGTTTGTTTTGCATATTCAAAATAATTGACACTTTTCACCGTGTTCTCAAAAACTATTTTATATGTTAAATGCTTGTTAATATTAATCAATCTTTTACATCCCTAGCCCCAACTAAGGCTGTGTATTGAACATCAGACTATCAGGTTCCAGTAATAATATTGTTTGATACAAATTTCAATAAGCTATGCCTTTTATATTAAAACATGGATCATTGTATTTTCAAATTATTGTTGGTATACATCTATCTATTGTATATACAGACATATTGTAGTACTAAATTGCTAAATGAGTAGAAAATTAGGTAGAATAAAAATACAAAGACATTTTTATACCAACAAAAATCCATTGTTACAATGTGTTGATATATTTGTTATGTCGTGTGACAATAAAATTGTTATCAAACCTTTCGTATGTCTGTAGGGTATTTGCTACGAACCAGACACCATGCGTATTCAAATTGTGCTTTGTGCGTCACTTTCCCTTGATGGAGTTGTTCATGGAATATTTTCTCGAACTTCTGCGCGATACAAATAGAAGGTAATAAGAGAAACAATGAACAGAAAAGCAAAAGGTGACTCACAAATATTGCACAAGCTGTTGCTTACTTGCAAATCTTCAGACGACACTACTTCGTCAAGAACGTCCTCCATGACGATAAACTTTCAATAAAAATATTTTTTTTAGAAATTACAGTAACAAAATTTAAGACAAACCATACGAAATGAACTCAAATTGCCTCACAAATATTTTTATTTTACGGTCGAAAAATCGAATCAAATGACATTGACAGTAAATACAACAAGAAAATAGGGATGCCCGATTTAATTTAGAAGATTATTTATATCATACTATATACCGATTTTTTGAATCGATTTAATAGAATACGATCAGATTGTACGCCAAAAGATCGTATCAATACAATAAAACAAAAATCGGCGCGTATAAAGTGTGTACCGAAAGCAAAGTAAAAATACACCTACGTCTTTTTATTGTTTAGTATACAGTATACAGTAAAACTACGACTAGAGAGAAATATACAATGTTGTTTTAAATTAATATGTAATATTCTGAATGAACTATTATTTCTGAAAAGTTTAAACGCAGATAATTGGGGTCTATATAATATCTATACTATACTTATACAAGCTCAAAAAAAAAACTATTCAAAGCAATCCGATGCATGCACATTTAGGAACCTAAAGGTTGAATGTTGGTCCCTACTTGATGATGGAGACAACTGGCCAGGGAAACTAAAGGATAATTGTCTCCCTCCGAGCTAGGTGTTGTTAGCCCGGGGACCGCGGTCCTACCGATGTAGGTTGGACGTTCTATTTATGTTAATCTATATATATATAAAAATGAATCGCAAAATGTGTTGGTAAGCGCATAACTCAACAACGCCTCGACCAATTTAGCCAAATCTTTTTTTAAAATGTTCGTTGAAGTTCAAGGATGGTTTTTACGGCGAGAAAAATTAGAATTATTGCTGGAAAAACCCTAAAAATAGCCCTTTTCTTTTTCCCATACAAATGATTTGTAACTAAAACGTAGTCAATTTGAGCTTTATTGCTATGGTATAAAGTTCATATTAAATTACAAGCACTCACTGTTGTCTAAGCAATGTAGGTGTGTTCCTAACGTCAAAGATCATATCTATCAAAACAATGTGCGTGTGTGCGTTGGAGCACAGAATACATAGTTGGAGGAGTTTAATGTCGCGTTCCGAAACTCGCGTTTCTTTTGTATTAGTTTCGGCACGCGAGATAAAATGCATCAGTTTCCACGTCATTACATGTATTGCCGGAACATTGATGAAAATACGCTCTGTAGTAGCAAAGCTGTTGGGTCCTAGATAGCTCATTGGTTAGAGCAGTCCCTGGATCGCGAATGGGTTCGAGTCCCATTCCGGGGTACAGGTAGATGGATTCTTCCAGCATTTTTCCTTGAGAATGTTTATATATTTTTTTAATTCGAATAGTTTACTTTTATAATGCTGTTGTGTGTAATGTGTTTTTATGATCATAAAAATCTCTTTTTTCTATATTTAATACTATTACTATTAATACATTGCAATAATAATTATGATTCACATGATTAACAATAAAGCGATTACTTACTTTTAAATCCTTATATATGTTTTATTTAATTATTTTTTATTCACAACGCCCTATCACCAGGGTGACGGTTCTGTTCAGGAGAATTTTTTTAAATATGTAGGCAAAAAAACTGCCACATTACAAATCTTTTTGACAGGACGAAGTCTGTCGGGTCAGCTATTGGTAATGAAACTTATTCTGTGCGATGTAGGTTTCTTTGTTCTAAATGTCTTCTAGTTATTAATTTATGCTATTTGTATTGGAACAGCGCCATCTCGTTACTTGCTGTTGAAACTTATTGCTGTTCGTCTTGCTATCGATGGCTGTGATGATGGTAGTCTTCTCGCTATCGATTGTTGTGGCGATGTTAGTGCGATGAGTTAGATGTCGCTATGTATCAGTCGCCACACACAGATCGATATCTATTAAAACGAAACAGCGTATATCTACAAGAAACCCATATATCAGTGAAGAAACCCATAGAAAAAAAAGTGTTTTTTTTTTATTGCTACAGTGACTAACAGTTTATCATTAAACAATAAAAATCTTTACAAAAATAGAAGTTTACACAATAAAATTCAATGAAATTAATAATAAAATTCATTTATACATTTTTATATACATAAAAATAATAAATAACATAATTTACAGTTTAACAACTCTTTTAAATATCAAAGAAACTTTTTGAACACAATATAAATAAACCCATAAACAGAAGGCGTTGAATGTGCCATAGATTTATGTAGGGGTCTATGCACAGAACAAATAAAAAGGTAGAACGATTAAGTGGGCGGGGTCGTGCGACCATCCATATGCCCAAAACGGTCATATGAACGTCATGTTACTCAAATTTCCAGTTTATTATTTGCACAATGTCATAGTGGTCTATGGTGCGTCGAAAAATACGAAAATATGCCGAATAGTGCCGTTATTACGAGTCGTTTGCGTAATGAAAATGTAATTCTGAAAAAAGGAGAAATTTCATTTCATCGGTAAGTAAAAAATTTTGGATATATAACAGTATATCGAGATATAATCACATTTTTTTTTTCGTGAGATTGTGCCAGTTGTTAACATAGTGCTTGCAAATATCGATAAAATGCTATCGATAGTACTTAACCCTAATATTATGAATGGCAATCAATTTACATGCTATTATAACATTAAATCTATTAAGATAAATAGTTAACAGAAATTTTTTAGAGATTTGTATGTTTTTGCTACATAATAGTGTTAATTTGTTACATAATAGTTGCCGCCAATTGTTATATAATAGTGTTAATTTACTATTAAATTTTGTAATTAATTGTGTAATGTGAACAATAAAGAGTTTTGTATTGTATGTTTCAGTTTTCCTAGAAACCCCGACATAAAAGAAAAGTGGATTGACGCGTGATAGAAATGGTCAATGGTTTCCTTCTAAAACTAGTTTACATTTGTTCAACATATTTTTCTGTAAATGATTTCATTAATATTAAATAATATGATAAATTACTTACAAATTTATAATGAAATATTATTATTACATCTAGTTTTCTGATTATATTGTGAAATTAAATGTTATATTGGGATATTATATAAATATAGTTTCAATGAGACATCTTTGTTATTATTTTCCATTCTTAATATATTGTGCTTCATATAATACCTAGTTAGTAAAAAAATATGAATGATTAAATATACAAAAAAAATTAGCTAAGTATCAAAAAATAAAACTATGACTATATAATAGAAAAAAGGCAAATTCAAATTATAAAAATCTAGCCCCCAAAGAGCCAAATTATCATCACTGTCACCTGCTCTTGATATGTGACCCCGTAGCAGCCTACTTCTGATTAAAACTGACAAAAATCGCAGTTACATTGCTACTTTAGCAAGATAGGAATTGGTCTAAATGATCGAGCCGTTTCAAGAGAAAGTTGATTACAATCATTGTGAAGTGATTACATACATATGGTATTTATTTTCATTGTATTTTTTTTTCGTGAATATGCGAAATGATAAATTAATAAAAATATTTATTATATTAACCCAATATATCAATAAATTTCTGATTATCGATATCAAATTGTGAATCACAGGGCACTTCACTATTTCAGTGTTGACAGAAGCGTAAAATTCTTTGCATTATATTTTGAAAAATTGTTTTAATGCAGATACGTCGTGCAATAACATTTTTATGTAATGAAACATGTATTTCAAATGTTTACACATTAACTAATTTAATATCCGCGCATAAAATATAATATTTAGAACTAACAAAAGTAATTGTGCAAATTTTTATTATAGCTAGCCATACATTTTGTGTATTACTGTAAAATCACCTGTATTAATAGGCTAGTATATATTAATTTTGCTGAAACTTTTGTAGCCAATGGAAGCATCGCTCTCTTTGTGAGCTGAATAGGTGAAGTTTTATGTCTGTGTGATATGTGGCACGCGCGGTCCTAGTACTAATGTTAGTACGTTATCATTCTAACCTTTTTATCTGTTCTGTGGGTCTATGTTATTAGTTCCACAAATTCCCTTACATTAATTTGAAATAAAACTTTTTCTTTCACTCATTAAAATTAATCTGCCATTGCCTCAAGATTTGGCAGTATGGCTTACGGCTCCTTCACCTGTCTCATAGACGAAACAACTACTTCCATTGTCAATGTCAATGTCAATTCAGCTGTCTTTTGTCTGTTCTCTGTGCTCTCCGCCTCCTTGTCTTTCTTGGCCGTTTAAACCGCATATTATATTTTATTGAACTCATTCGGACATTCCAATAAGGCCTTAAATATTCCTGTTTGTTCATTTAGATATTTTAAAATAAGTAAAAAATAAAATGCAAAGTGTAATAAACACGGTTAAAGGTACCGCTTTAGGAGTCGCAGGGTATCTAACACCAGTGCTGAAGGTACGTTTAATATGAAGCCAGTATTAACATTTAAAGAATTGAATATACAGAGTGACAGAATTAAAACTTATTTTAAACTAAACAGAATCATTGCTGTTTTCTCCTAAACGCAGACTAAAGAAAGATCTGCATTTGAACTATCATTTAATAAACATTGGTATCATAAAAATGCCATTATTTCAAAGTATCTTACAATGCCAGTACTTGCTGGTGCAAGCTCAATTTCTAAAAACGATTTCACATAAAAGTGGGTTTTGTTATAATCCTTGATTGATTAATTGATGTAAGAATTCTTTGAGTAAAAGGATTCTCTGAAAATAATAAAATGTAAAGTAGTATTGATGAAATTATAAACAGCTAACACAAATTCATTTTGTAGGCTGTTATCTTACAATATCAATTTACAACGTCATACTGTACTGAGAAACTCAGCGAAGGCTGCTTTTGTCCCTCTACTTTATTTCATACAGAAAAAACAAATTAGATTATGAAGTTAATTTCTATTACAATACAAAAACAGCAAAAATATATGATAAATCATGCCTATACAACTATACATTTTAATAAAATGATAAATAATAATTATTTAGGAATCAAAGTTTCAAGAGACTGGAGTATTGACTCCAGAAGAGTTTGTGGCTGCTGGTGATCACTTGGTTCACCACTGTCCTACATGGCAATGGGCCCGTGGGGAGGAGGGGAAGGTGCGACCCTACTTGCCTGCAGATAAACAGTTTCTCATTACTAGGAGTGTACCTTGCTACCGAAGATGCAAACAGGTAATATAAACATTACCAAAGATTTCATATTATACCTAATAAAAGGTATAGGTAATATCTCTATACTTTTGCTATACACTTCGATTGTGTATATTGTAAATCATAACAACTTATGGTATAGACACATATGAGTTGATGTTTCACGATCAACTTAGCATGAGATGAAGTAAGGTATAAAAGCAAAGAGAAACTGATATCACTGTTCATCCCTTGTTTTGGTTTAAGCCCTTGATTCTGTTAGTTCATTTCCTTATCTAAAACAGTGTATATAGATTTAAGGATTTCATAGTTTCGTAATTTCTAATGATAGAATTTTGATATTTAAACAGATTGAATATTGTGAAGACAAAGAAAAATTGATTGAAGATGAACATGATCCAGAAGGAGGATGGGTAGACACGCATCATTATGATAATACTGGTTCACCTGCAATTGAAGAGAAGGTACTGAAACAAATTTTAATAAAACAGTTTAAAAATAAAAAAAAAATCTAAGTTGAATATTTCTCTATCTAGGTATGTGAGATGACCTTAGAGGCTGCTGACACAGGAGACAGTGAGGGAGAAGGCGTCGCTGCCGAAAAAGATGATGATGATGATGATGAAGATGATGATGGAGAGGCCGAAGATATGGAGCAGTTTCAGGAATCAGGCCTATTGGACGAAGTGGACCCTGTAAGAATTATTATGAATGTTTTATCATGTGGATTTTTTATTTAAAACTAATATTGTATGTCATTTAGTCAACAGACTTAGCGCCGAGGAAGGAACCGAAAGCGAAGCAGGAACGGCGGCGGGTCGACGGTGACGAAATAGTGCGCACGCGCACCTACGACTTGCACATAACCTACGACAAGTACTATCAAACGCCGCGCCTCTGGCTCATCGGATACGACGAAGTGAATATATTTTTAACCTCACAATTCTAATGATGAGAACCATAACATTATACTAAGTCTTTGGTGTGGCAAACTTTTAAAACTTAAAATCATGCAAAAACTTTAATGGAAAAGAAGTGCACAATGCTCATATTTTCTTTTAATAATAAAAAAACATTACACACTTGTGTCAACCACACCATCATAATATGAATTAATGATTGAAATGTGTCATGTTCTAGAATCGATCTTTGCTGAGTGTCGAACAGATGTATGAGGACGTATCACAGGATCACGCTAAGAAGACTGTTACTATGGAGGCTCACCCTCACCTATCCGGCCCGAGTATGGCGTCAGTGCACCCCTGCAGGTATGTCCTTTACATTTAGTCTGGCTGCAAACATTCGGTTTCCTTATCAGGAATTCCGGTGCGGAGGCCCTAACACGTGTCTTTTATACAAAGTGTAAAGAGACACATACACTTTTCGGGTGTTCTCATAACTTATGTATTTATTCCTTGTGTAAAGTGTTTTCACGATAACTACTCGGGACATACTGAACTACGTTTTTCCTAGCAGAAAAACACAAATGTGTAATGGTATTTCGATTTGAAACTTCTGATCAAGAAACCAACCACCACATATAGCTAGGCTTATACATACGTATATTTTAATTGTAAATGTGTCTCATGTTCATTTTAAAAGATCAATACAAATTTTAGTGTGTGACGTTATCGCCGCGCATCTTCAGCGCAATAAATCGTTTCGGTAATTCAGAAAAATTGACTGTCGCCCAGTCAGTAGAGTTGAAATTATATATGAATAGAAACAATTACGCATTAGCAATGTGACCACACCAAAAAATTCTTCGCCAGCGTTACTATTTCGCCTGTAAATAGATTAAAATATAAACCTTGAAGTTTGGAATATCTGTACATTCATAATTTTATTAAACGTAATCTAGGACTATTAATTATTTGTTTAGAGGGCAGCATTTTTGCAAATTTCACTGCTTGTTTTTAATATAAGCGCTATTTATTATTGTGTAAGTAGTTAAATGTATGATGGAGGTCATTTAATCAACATTATAACAATGTTGTGTGATAGCTTAAAAGGTGTAAGGAAAGGCGATTGATAAGAAGGAATAAACAACTGCATTATTATAACACAGATGTTTACTGACCTCGAATTATTATTGACACTAGATTTGATGTCAACAAAATTATAAAATAGTATTTCTTTAGTCCTAGATTAATATATTTATTGAGGAGGCATTTGTTTTACTAAATAATATTTAAATTATTCTTCATATATGTAACCAAATGTAATTAGAAATAACCGAACATTTGTTTTTTTTTTGTATGAAAACAATCTTAACCCCAATTCCAACTGTGTTCTCCTGTAGTGAACTTCTGAATTACATGAGAAAGTGATGTCTAAAAATATACTAAAATGGTTTATTTGGTTTTTATAACACACACACCGTAAGTAATTTTAGTAAGTTTTCTTGATAAGTAGATTTAAATGTAATTATATTATACTAGCTTTCGCCAGCGGCTTCGCCCGCGTGGTCCCTAGGGAAATGTTAAGTGGGATAAAAAGTATCCTATTATCTAAGTCAGCTAATACCCTATCTGTATACCAAATTTCATCAAAATCCGTTCAGTAGTTTCGGCGTGATTTAACTCTTTTAATTAGGGATGACTGAGAGTGTTATAAACGTAAGAGTAGACAATAGACAAATACAATCAGAAAGCTTCGAACTGCTAAGCTATCGGGAGTTACACGTGTTATTGTGAGTCAACCATAAAAGATAGACATATGCTGTCGTGGGATATTTTTTATATAATTTTAAGGAGAATACATGATTTCTGGGTAGCTTTAACCATTAAGGTTGCACACGCGACGGAAGCTTAAAATATGGAGTAACTTCTCCCGTCTTCCCAACATTTCCCTTAACTGCTCTGCTCCTTTTGATTGTAGCGTGATGAAAAGTATACTATAACCAGCTCAGGAGTATGAAAAATAACTGTACCAAGTTTCGTCAAAATCCGTCGAGTAGTTTTTGTTTCTATAACGGTTATACAGACAGACAGACAGACAAAAATTTTACTGATTGCATTTTTGGCATCAGTATCGATCCCTAATAATCACCCCCTGATAGTTATTTTGGAAATATATTTCATGTATTGAATTGACCTCTCTACAGATTTATTATAAGTATATATTAATTTTGATATGATAATGACGTGATTTTGTAAATGTCGTTACTTCTGTGAGAGCTGAGGATGTCTTTCGCTCGTTCGTCACCCAAAAGACGCCCTGAACAGTATAGCTTATTCTTGAACGCTGTTGCGACCGATAGACATTCTTGATTTGCTACACAAACTTAAATTGGTTGGTTATTGCGTGGTTGTTCTTCTTTCTAATTAATGGCGTTGGCCTTAGAAATTTCATCCAATCCAATGTTTCGCTCAGTTTACTTTATATTTTATAAACTCTGCTTTTTGTATGTTGGTAGTGAAATCCCAAGTTATATTTTGACTTTTGTTTGGTTATTGAATTAACAAATTAATATTGATTATGTATTGAGCATTTTTTACAAGAATATGAGCTAAGATTTAATGAAACTTATATAAAACTGATAGTCATTAGATTGGCTTGAAATTGCCTGCAGGTGGTAGGTTAATAAAAATGACGATTCAAAAGTGTTTTCATTAAGTTTCTTATAATAAAGATTATTTTGATTTTAAGTAGTAATAATAATAAGCAACTATCCACTTGCCAGGCATGCAGAGGTGATGAAGAAAATAATAGAGACTGTCACGGAGAGTGGAGGTGAGATGGGTGTGCATTCGTACCTTATAGTGTTTCTGAAGTTCGTGCAAACCGTCATACCCACCATCGAGTACGACTTCACACAGAACTTCTCCATCAACTAGCCAAGCTTCTTATATAAGTGTACGCTTCATGGATACGATATTATGTGGTGCTTTAACTTTTGATATTTGTATAAGTCGGGGACATGTCGTCGTGCTGGATTCGCTAGTCTGTATCTAAATCTACCTATAAAGTTCTAAATGTATACTTATCATTTATTCTATGTACCCCTTAGATCATTAAAGCGCTTGCTATGATTCTTTAAGATTATCTAATAAATAATGGTAGCGATTCTGTTGCACTATCTAATTAATTTTTATCGATCTTTTTAATAACTATGATAACAGAATACTACAACATACTAAATATAATTAGTATACAAAACAATAACGATAAATAAACAAAAGTATAATTATATTTCATAGATCACAAATTACTATGGAATAACGTTAAAACAAACTCAAATTAAAAATAGAATACTTATATTATTATAAAAAAAAAAACATTAAAAATACCATATAATTCAAGCATTTTTCATTAGAAATCTTTTAGTTTGGAGAGTGGAACACCAGAATTGCCACCATTGTCTTTTGGAGACAAGTTCAGTAGATTTTATGTACTGACACGAAGAACAGATCTGAGTTAATGTTTTAAAGTATCCTGTTCAATATCAAAGGCATTATTTTAATCACACATAACAATATTAAAATAAATATATATTTCATATCTGCTTTTGTGTTTAGAGAAGGGAACCCTGTATGTCCTCGTAATTTTATGGTCTTTTAATATCTAGGTGTTAGCATTATGTGAAGTAAGCCCACTTGTGATAGTAAGCATTTATGAAGGATGCCCTGTTATGCTATTTAGAATAATCTCCAACTTGACATCAAGCGCAGCACTGACAGCATGAAGTTTCAATGAAATAAAACCTCTAGTATGTACCTTTTGAAATAGGTTTTATTTGATTGAACCTTTTGGTATAAAGGCATTTTATTCCCATGGTAATCCAGGGGTCCTAACTTCAACGCCTTTGTAGCGAGCACAACCAGCACTAACTCATGTTTATTGAAATGTGACGTCACGTCTCGAAATCACGTGACTGTTTCTGCGGGACAATTTAAATTGATAAATAAAAATATATTTTCCTTTATTTAATTACAGTTTTTGGAGTAAAATCTGAGAGTGGTTCAATAGGATCACATGAGTTTTGAAACTTTCCTCAAAACAGTGAAGTAGCCAATTCTAATTTTTCGGATTTAACAAAAATGTTAAAGTGGTCTATAAGAAAACAAGTGTGGGAACCCTTACTCTAAACTATGACAGCGCTGCGCTCGATGTCGACTTCGGGGCAGTTTCTATAACAAAATAGCAAAGCTGTTCTCGGTGTACATCATAGGCCAGTTATACTATATATAATGAACTATCCCGCCCTAGGCTTGTGACGTGGCCGACTTGTTTGCCAACACGTGAGCTATTTGCACATATTCGTAGTAATAAATATTATTATAAATTACAATGTTACATGTATATGAATTCAAGGTAATTTGTCGTCTTAATATTCAATGTTAATTTTAAAATTGTATAATACCCAAGGTTTAATCATTTTATTTGTTTTTGGTCAGAAAATAATAGCAATAAATCATTGATATAGAAGCTCTTTGCTTTGTAAGTAGGTACTTAATTTATGGTAGAATCAGCATCTGCACAAACACACAGTCATATTGCATTAAGACTGCTCAGTACAATATATCGGGAACATTATTACCCATAATTGTACAAACTATACCAGCTATCCTTTCTAGTGATTTAGTAATGAATTAATTAGTTTAAAACAGGCACCAATCGCTGTAACACAGTTTAAGTGCTTGATAAAAAAAAATAAGTCTGAAATACTCGGAAATGTATATAATGTATTGTTTTTGTTTATCCACTTATGTTATGTTGATAACTTTTATTTTGTTTAAAATAAATCTTATTACAAATATAATATTTTAAAGATCTGTTTTATTTTATGTTGATGACTATTACTCCGATCGATTGATTTGCTATCAACCTTAAGACTCGTGTTTACTTATTATTCCTTTTAACGCTGTTAGCAGATTAATCAGATACAAAGGAGGTATTACGAAACTACTTTTATTTAAAACTTTCTAAGGAATTAATGAACAGACGTTATTAGAATTCTGACATCTGACGTACTAGAAGTCTGGTGTTCTTTCTTTCGCTTCATTACGGCAGTACAAAATAGTATTTTCTTCATCCTTTTTTTTTCATGATAATCTTACGTAATAATTATTAAACAGGGTAGGGGGATCAGCAGATACTTACTATTCTAACATATATAGAGGAGGACGATAAAAGGCCAAAATCGTCTTATATAATAAATGGGTGACACCAGTAACGACCCATCGGATTTTTTAATCATGGCAATACATGTAGCTACAGCTGTAAGGTTATACAAAACTGTCAAACTCCAGTTAAACCATATATGGTGTTACCACAACATGGCGAAATTGTCCTGTTAATTTTGATCTCTACCCTCAAACATCAAGTTTTAAAATCAAGTGGAAAGATGTATAACCTGAAAAATGATTATAAAAAAAAACCTTTTACTAATAACCCTTTATTCATATACATATCACCTTCTTTATGTACAAATCATCACCTCCATAATAAAATATAAGAATATAATCAGTACACGTTATAAGAAAGCCCACTACTACATAATAACATATCATTTTACATAGCAATTTACAAAATAGCACACTATAACTTCAATACAATTATAAATTTCACTAATTATAGCCGACAAAGTAGACGCTATTCTGGTACTCACACTAATACCATTAATATCTCTCTATATCTGAACAATTACAATAAATTATATTATTCAGTGATTTTTTTTTAGGAATGTAATTTATGTTCAAAACTACCGATATCATATTATTTTATTACACAGTAAAAATATTTTCATGAATCGTAGTATTCCTTTATTATATAACAAGAAACTGGTTTTGATAAATATTTACAATATTTTATAATTTTTTTACCACATAATAAAAAAAAATAATCACAGAGTATATTCATCACAAAATAATGTCAAATACTATTAACAAACGAAATAATTATCCTCATTTCTATAATAAATGTTTCCATTAATGATTATAAATGTATTTACATATTTATAATCACCCCAATTAAATAGGGATTTAATTATAAAATGATACATGAAATTCAAATAAATTATAGACACCAAACGCAACGTATAGAAACGGACGGTGTGTTACACTTAGAAATTAGATATATGTGGCATATAGGATATACATCGACAGAGGATTAAACTTTCATATTTGGTATACAAAACAATTTCCTAATCTAATATACAAGTATCGTATCGTTAGAATTTTAGGTTAAAACTGACGATTGTAAACGCAGCTTTATTAAAACAAGAGCCGGATATGATAGAAAAACAATTGCAGTATGCATCACAGTGGCTAAGTTATCAAACTCGAGATTTCAGCAGCGGCTTTGCCGCGCCTTATTTATGTTTTCGTCATCTGACTGTCAGGGCTTAATTTTGACACTTGACACGCAGCAGTTGTAGCTACGAGGTAGAGAAGCTGATCTACCGTATAACTTTGATTTCATTAATATTTATTTAAATAAAACGCACTCAAGGTTCGATACCGCGTAGGCTGTATATCATTTGTTCAAGACTTCGAAACCGTAAAATATCAAACCTTAACTATATAAATGGATAAAATCATCCATTAAGTTAATTTTATCCATATACTATTGAATGCTTGGAATAAATGATAATTTTGGTGAAACGATACTTCTCGATTAAATAAATAATTTAGATTAGTTTACATACATACTTATATAAAAAATCTCAAAATATTGCTTCTATTATTGATTTGAAATACACCAAATTCAAAAGATTGTACTTAAATATATAAATTAGGGTTGGTGCATATCGACGGAAGATGCGCCCGGTCTCATTGGTCACAGAACATCAGAACTATCAATAAAACTATATGACATTCAACCTTGCACGCTCGACGGCTCTTCCTTCAGATTTGCACCGACTCTTCAACTGCTACATTATTTTTATAAATCGGCAGTGTATTGAGAACGAACACCTATAGACCTCTTATACAAATTTATTACTCAAATTATGAATTTTATTATAATAGTAATAGAATTTTAGAGTATTTTGATTAACTATATACGTGATAAAAATCCTATATCAATGCTATCTACGTCTTTACTATTCACTTTTAAAGCACACATACTCTTATAATTTTACATATGCGCTTTAGAAGCTGTTTAAGAGTTTTATTTTAAATGATTCCAATATTTCTTTCCTAGCATTTTATTTTACGACATGGAACATCAAGCGTAACATGCTGAATTTGAGATCGACCTTATTGCAATAAAGTGACGGCGGGTTTTGCAGTGCAACTGTTACACTTGACATAAATATTTTGAGTGCACGTTTTAAGACATCACGTCAGCACTTTTAGTCAGGTACTTGATTCATAAATCAATTTTTAAATATGATTGATTTCATATTTAGTAATAACACTTTTCTGAAATTAATTAGTCTTTTTCAAGTATTTAGTTTCTATTGTTAGTCTTAATAGTTAAATTGTTTCCAAAACGATGTAAACAAAAAATATTTATACCATTTATCGAATATAATACCTTCGGGTAGTTGAATATGATACTAATTTTGTCGTGTCAATAATTAAAAGGCAAATAATGAGTACATTATTTTTATAGTCTAGAATTTTCTATAACACTGCGCCTTTAAAGTGAGAGTTGACCCCTATGTTAGTGACCCAAACCAAACTCCAACGGCTTAGTTTATTCAACACATAAAAATACACTGTTTTGTGGTCATGCAAAACAGTTAATATCAATAAATAGCAAAATTAAATTATACAATCATACAGTATCCAATAACATACCACACCATTACACTTTATTACAGAAATAAATATTTATTATAAATTAAATAATTTTATAAATTCACTGACCTAGCTTATTATTTCAATTTTGCCTAATATACAATGTAGAATGTGGATCTATCCCATTCTCATTTTATTTTGACCACTAAAAGCGAGGATAACCACGTTAATCTTTGACAATTGCATTAATTTTACAATGTAACAGACCCTGAAGTGTCTTTTTACAAAATAATAATAACTGGTCGATACAGAACAGTCGAACAGAACTAATTTATTGACAAAATTAAAAATTATATTATAACGTGTGTTATTGACCATTTAATAATAGATTTTATTTAAAAAAAATATTGTTTGAATAAAAACCGAGACATTTATTTTAAAATGCTTCGTTTACTGCCTCGAATTGTACTTATCCTTCTTTTCATTCCTTACATGCAGTTGTTGAATATTCAACATTTGCTAAGCCATAAAAAAATCACATACATTGAATATTATCTTTGGTCTTTCTCTGTGATGATCATTTTCAAAATATAATTTAGTCCTTTTAAAATTACTCGGGGTCCAATCTACCCTTCTGGCAGTTTTCCCTACGTTTGAAATAATTAAATAGTTGACGTAGAAATATGTAGTGGTCCGTTTTCGAGTTTCCTGATGACTAGTATTGATGGTCTAGTGTTTCCGCGGTACTAGCGCGACCAGTCTCGCGTGAGCTAGCGCCAGTAACGTGTCGAGGGGGTCCAGAGCGCCGCGCTGTAACCACTTGGGTATGGTGGTCCGCGCGTGACGGAAACCTAACTTCTGAAGAATATAATCCACGCCATACGGCTCGATCGACTTACCCGCCCACGACAGCAATCTGCGAATGTTAATAACGAATCAACATCAGAATATTATCAAAATCTCGACTCAACATCATATCGGCCTATTGATATCTCCAGTGCAAAATCACGAGCCTTCTCTATGGAATCATACACGCAGGCCGAGTTGCGGATTGATGGGTGTTAACGTCCTGCAGATGGAGCTGCGACCAACAGCTTAACGTGTCCTCGGAATCATAAAGGCACTCGACATAATATATATATTATGTATGATATTTAATGACTATTAATTTAATGATTTTATGATGTTTTAATGTTAATTTGTGTATTATAATTTTAATAATTTAATTGAATAATTTTGCTTTCACTATCGCATTGGGGCACACCTGTAATGATAGTGATAAGTTACGAAATAAATAAGTATGACCAGCGATTGTGAAAAATGCGAAATTTGCTTAAACTCTTAATTATAGACCGCCCTAACCATTGGTCCTCCTCATGGGCAAGTCTTCCCTATAGAAATAGACGGCGAATGGGCCATGACTCACCACCAGTACGTATTTGTACTAATTCACTTAGGACCAAAGACTTGAGGCCAATCAAAGTATGAAAATCGATACAGAACTGTTTGACCACATAACGGCCTGTCTTAAAAACGCTTATCAAATGTGCTAATCACTATGCCATAAACCACATTAAAGTTACTGTTAATTTCCACCATAAAATAGTGCAAGCAGTTTAATATCATTAATAGGGTATTTGACGCTTTTCTGAAAATTATTTTAAATGGTTCATTGATATATAAAAACACACTGTCAATATATTTCATGAGAATCTGTTCTATTTTTTATAGAAAACCGCTGCTCTATGTAATGGCGCTGATCACGTAGTATTTGTGACGTCACACGCCGGTAAATATGTCAAGACGACATAACCTATTTATCAACTATTTTTTTACGAAGTAAACAAATAGTATTACAGAAGAGAAATTGAAGTTAAATTATATATTTTGTATTTGTATCTACTCTGGTTTTGTTTATAAAAATGAGCTACAAATTGTGTGTATCAATACAAATTTTGCGTATCTCTAATAACTCTGTTTTGACATGGCAGCTTCCGGTTTATGTGTGACGTCACATGCCGGTAAACAAAACCTTTTATCGGTTGCGATGATAACCAATTACAGGGCGTTTTCGTCGTTCATTGAAATTATTTAAAATATTGAATTTTCTTTGTTATTTTACTAAAGCTGAACATATGTTATCTGTAGATTCTAAGAAATAACAGGATGACCCTAATACGCAACTAATTTTTAATAGTGTCAAATACCCTATTCTAGAATTTAACATAGCTATGTAATAAATGAACCAACGTTTAAACGGTTTCATCGCGTTTTTATTTATTTTTGTTGACGTTTCCGTCCGTTTGTAGGTTCCGTGTTCATATAAATTAAGGTGTTGATTGCCTTTTTGATTAAAAGTATAGCTATCTTCAAAAAAATACTATTGGACACATTCACAACACAAAATTGTTATATTTTATGGCAACCTTTCCATTTATTTAATTAAATTATTTTTAAAATACATTTGACTTATTTATTCACCCTTGGCTACCGAAAACTACCACTAGTTCCAAATGGAGTTTTGTCTGATAAGAACTTGCGACACAAACTCCAACAAGAAAAGTTCTCTTTGATTTAATATTTACAGAATGCACTAACTGTATTTTTTGGTTATGCAATGTGTGATCTGGATTGAGATTTGGATGCCAAGCAGGAGGTTTCATCTCCAACTTTCATCTCTATTAAAATTAAAAATAACCGCTTTTTATTAAATGCATGTATGTATATACTGTATATATACCAAAATAACATTATTTTATTTTTTCATTTTATCCGTCGGTCTGTCTGTTTTTTCCAGCTAATCTCAGAAACGGCTGGACCGATTTTGATAAGACTTTGACTGGCAAGATAGCTATGGTAATAATGAGTATCTTAGGCTCTATTCCAAAGTACACACTGACCTGACGGTGGGCTCCAGGTGCCAGGTGACGCAGTTGTAGTCGCGGTAGTCCTGTGGCGGCGCGGGCCGAGTGTTATTGCCGCTAGTCTCGCCCCACGACGCACGAGATGCCGGCATCTAATTATTACATCAAATCAACCACTCGCACAAATACAAACTCCTTATTTGCTAGTCAGAAATCACGGGGAACACTCGACGTGGCTAAGTAAGAAATAACATTTAAGCGGAAAGTAATAATCTCCGAGTTTTACCAAACAATATTAGCCACCCACTGACTCGACCATCTAAAACATAAATTGAACCTTATGATTTTTTTTTTATTCAACATAAGTTTGTGGTTTTAAAATTCAGAATAAGTTCTTTCTATGTGTCCCACCCACTTATTATCTTTATCACAAATTATCTTAGAAGTTTTAGTCACAGTATATCATTGATTACCTAATCTATACTAATATATAATAAGATCTAAACATGTGGGTGGCTGTGCTGTGATAATTCCACCCAATATTACAATTTCAGAAGGTATGAAAAATTTCAGAATGATAAACTATAGTTTAAATAACAATCGGCGCACGGCAGATAGATACATACAATGGTATGGAGCGAACGAACGAAGTGTACGACGCGTTGTGATTGGTCTCACAGCGGCGATCGGGAGGGCGTGTCAATTACTTGTTTTCAATAGGCGTCGTTATTGTTGCGAAAACCAATCGAACAATAGGATGGCATTAAGCAGGTAGTACAGCGCGTAAGCTATATTTACGCGTGGTCAATGCTATGCGTTTTATAGCTTATAAGTCGCCTAATATTTTATATTATTTTAATATAACAATATATATATATATATATATATATATATATATTGCAAATATTATTTTTTTAATTAATAATGTAGGTAATGTTTAAGATTTGTTTAGAAAAAGCTATTTTATAAGTTTTGGTGTAGTTTTTATATGTATATGTAGATAAAATGAGACACCACAAACGTTTGTTTGTTTGTATCGAATACGTTTCGAAGCTACTGGACCGATTTAAAATATTATTTCACCTACGGGAAGCTACATCATACGCGGATAACATATTTAACGTAGGAATCCTACGTCGCGGAAAAACATTTACTAAATAAACATAATAATTAAAATGTTTACTTACAACTCGTTCTTTTTCTTTGATATAAGATGAGATCAGATCGTGTAGGAAAAGGAATGCTTCAGCATCTACTGATACAAATATATGGTCCTCGAACTCCGTTATGAAGCTACACTCGACTATTGGTTTTGGATCTGAAAAAAAAAAATAACATCCCGGAGACATTCAAACACGCAAAAGTATTATAGTCGCATGAAACCAGTTTCACAAAACTAATAATGTGAAATTACTATCGTAATGGCATGCAATTAGTGGTATTTTTGAGACACTGAGTCTATCAAGATCGAAGCTTTATTTACTAAGCGCGGATGGAGCCACGATACTAGTTTCGCCAAGTACATCGAGGTGAAATTAGTTGCGTGAAAGTAGTTTCATCAAAAAATATGCACATCGCCCAAAACTACTCTACGATCGTGAAACTAATGCGTTGTGAACGTGGACATTTACACATGCAACTGCTAGCGAAATTTATGCAACGAAAGTAGTTTCATGCAACTATTTTCCGACTCGTAGGTATACATGTAAAAATGAATGAAAATGCACTGAAATATGCACAATGTTGTAGAAAAAAAAAACAATTCAATATTTTAAATAAAAATAACTTTGACTCGAGTGGTAGAGTATGACGTACCCGTATCGGCGGGCGGCACGTTGGGCTGCAGGTGTTTGGTCCTCAGATGCAGCTGCAGCGAGGGCAGCGCGAATATCACCTCGCGCACGTGCTTGTCCGCACCCGGCTTTGCCCGCTCCCTCTCCCCGCGCTCTCCGCGCTCCCCGCCCCCGCCGGCCCCCGGCCCCGCCCCCGCGTTACCCGCAGCCCCGCCCCCGCCGCCACCGCTCCCCCCCGCGCTACCCGCGCCCGCTACGCCCGCCGCGCTGCCCTCCCGCTCCAGCGAGGGGAACAGCTCGATTGCTAAGACACACCAAGATATCATATTAAAAAAAAGTGTTATAGGAATAAGACTAAAAAATAAGCATATTTTTATTGACATTCACACCATAATAATAAAAACAAAGACAGACAATAACTTACACATTTCATATCTTAAACTATATAGGTATATTGTATAAAGGCCAATAACTTTGGCACGCAGTCATTAATCTAAGTGTGGTGTAATAAACATCACTTCGCCTTTCCGAATATCAAATAAGTATATATCGATTGAATAGAGTTGTCGATATCATTCCATCAACTCGCTCAATTTCATCAACAACAAGTATTTACTTACTCAATAGATTTTACTATTTAGATAGGGCAGTGTTTAACTTTCTAAAAACTTTTACCGATTAGACTCTTCAAGATCACTATTAATTAATAATTAATGAAAATAGATAATAATCCCCGTCATAACTAACTTCCAACAATAGACAATACAGATTTCAGATGGAACGCGAAAAACTTCTGTTAATCGATTACATGTGATGCCTAATTTATGATACTGAATCATAATACGTGCCCATCTTAATTTGTCTAGCGTCACAGACGCGGATTGTATATTTCTATAAGTGCTAATACTCGTATTCCATCGTCTTCCACTCGCCCTTTTCTGCACAGACAAATTTCGCCGTGACTACTAATAAAAACCGCAGCACCAATATTGCACAAATAAATTTCTAGGTAAATGCATCGCTATGTTCAATAAAGTTCCACAAAATGTAATTGACCTACCCGTAAATAAATTTCAAATTCATGTAAAGAACATACTTATGAGTATAGGCTATTATAAAGTTAATGATTATTTTAAGTTCGTTTTCTTCAATTACGACTAATTATATGTACCAACCTATGTCCTACAGACTTTGAAAGTTGTATTTATTTTTGTTATAATACGTTCTACTATGGTCATGACATGATTTATGTAAATGTCATTACTTATGATAAAGAGCTGGTAAGTTTCTTTCACTTGTTCTTCTTGACAGCTAAAAGTGCTTGAAACAAGCCAACTTGAATAAAGATATTTTCTTTTATTTCACTTAAAATAAACTAACCGTCGATTTCGCTATTGGCGAAAGCATACTGGAACCACTCGCGCAGCGTCTTGAACTGCGGCGGGAATATGAGCGCTCTCGTCATGCGGCACACCGTCGCCTGGGACTGGTGCCCGCTGCCCGCCCCCGCGCCCGCCCCCACCCCAGCCCCCGCGGCCGCACCCGCGCCCCCCAGCGACGCGGTCAAAGATTGCGTTACTTGCACTTCCATAGATCCTGAACACGTTTATTGTCATTAGAAATTCTTAGTCATAAATGATTTGCGGCTTTACTATTGGCACACCATATTTCGGCTTTCCAAACCCCACTGATCAATCAGGATTTGTCTGTCCAATCCTAGTATCTAAATCTTGATTGGTCAAATTGAACAACCAGGGTCACCTTTTGACGTTTGAGGAACGAAGCTTAATAAGCCGGCAGCGTAAGTAATGCCTCAACACAGGATCTACTCACAGGGAAATTTTAGATCAATTTCGGTAGTCAAATCGACAATGCAGTAGATATTAATTTTCATTTTAAATTTCAACAAAGGATTATAGCATTTTCTCAAAAACTAATCGTCGAATGGCTGAACAAAAATATATTATGCGTGTTTCAGAAAACACTTTAAGTTTAAACTATTATTATTCACTGAGTCGTCGTTAGATAGAACCCACCAAATCGAGTACTCAATTTCTCATGTCTGTTTGTATCTTTAAAGTTACATCATTTATAAAGTAATCGCGGTTGAAATCATTTCATATGAGAAAATTAATAGTGATCAGATTTAATTTTTATGAACTATTATATTTTTTTTTTCAGAATAACCATAGATAAAATATATATAAGCTGACCTTTAGATTATTTTACCTTGTTCGTTGGTCATCTGTTGGGCCTCTGTGGCAAAGCTGATACAAGGGTCCTTGAGGCTGAAGAGAGCCCACGATTTAGCCTTGAAGCTGTTCCCGTGGAAGCACGCCAGCGATATGTTGGTGCCGTGTAACTCCATTGTACCACCCAAAATGGTTCCTATGCATACCAAAAATTAAGAATTGAGCTGGTTTGTTTTTTACTCAGTTTGCTTTTTATTTGTAATTCCTAAAAAAAATTTTTTTAACACAAACACGAATAGACAACTCCTTAACACAAACCAATGTGGATGTTAAAAAGTCATACGAGATGATAAAATAATATTAAAATATTTTTAAATACCTACTCGGTAATATTCTCTCTCACAATATGGCTATTGCATGAGACCGCACTAGTTTTTTCGACTGAAATTCAGTGCTTAATGAACAAAAAAAAATTTGCACATAACCACAGCCATAGATAATGATAAACAACCCTTATCTAACTTAACCCTTATGGCTGTGGCGTATTTTTTTATATTATTATGATGTATCATTTATACTCTATGAATGTGTGCTCATTTTTTAATACAAAGAAATTAAGTATCTATCGATTTATATGGCTTCTGGTTGTTGCCAGTGTCAAGCATAATATAATGTTTCACCATTACGCTCGCACATATGCATCTAACCAATTTCGTCATAAAAAAATGAACCAACAATATTTCCGATATCTATCAGTAGGCGTATTCTATTTCGATGAAAACGAAATTTCGTCTATTTTCGAAGTGCTAATACGATATGTTGTTTTAAACAGTGATACAGGCATCAAACGTAAAAAACCCGAAAGCAGGTAGAACGATATATCTGCAAACAACACCCAGCCGCATAAACTTCAGATACTCCGTGATCATGGCGCTTGCAACGGTGCCGAAAATATCGCAAGCTCATATAATTATAACCCCGTGCTTGGTACCTGCCATTGTGATGCGTTTTTGATACTTTATAATATAAAAGGAGTAGGAACTGACACTGCCGCCGATGCACAGATAATATGAGCCTGACAAAAATATAAGGGCGATTGGAAGTTTTTCGAATGATCAAAATCAAAATCAAAATTATTTATTCAGTCTAGGCTGTTACAAGCACTTGTGAAAGTCGAGAGCTACGCCATCGGTTCGTAAATCTACGGCGGGAGACCTTGTTCCGAGAAGAACCGGCAAGAAACTCGGCAAGGGCTGCTTTTTTTCCCTGTTTTATTTCATACAGAGCGTCAAGATCGAAAAATGACTTCATTAAAATATGAAGTCACTTTCCATTACGATATTACTATGAAGTCACTTTTCGTTACAATAATGATAATAGTTACACGCACCGTTGTCTGGCAGCGGCGCGGGCAGCGTGGAGGGGTGCAGCCCGGACACGAGGCGCAGCACGCGCTGCCAGTGCCGGTGGTGGCGCAGCTCCGCGCCCGCCTCCGCGCCGCCGCCCGCGCCCGCGCCCGCGCCCGCGCCCGCCTGCCCGGGGCCGCCTGCCGCCGCTGCCGGCGTCGATACTACTATTCATGAGCCTATTCTATTTACATCGCGAACTGCCTTGCGATTATGTAAAAATCCCAAAATCGAATTCGAATGAGGAAGTATTTAAAAAAAAAATCAGTTCCCGAAATCGAACTGGATGTCGCTACGCTACGTTCTTGATTTCTCCATGACAACCCCTCCTTTTTCTCTCATGTTTAAAAGTAAATTAGTTTTCTAAACTCAATAAACAACTCATATTCTATTTGTGCTTTTTCGTATTTGTATTGATATCTAATTTTCGAACTTTTTATTTCAGTTTTTTTAATATGTCAGTTAAAAGGAACAGAAATTACTGGCTTTGGTCCAGTTACATACATACCGCACATGCGATTACGCATTACACAAAATTATAATAGATCATAAACGATTTAACTAGACTCACGTTCCCGCTTGTCTTTCTTCGCGTTGGAGTAGTTGGGATGTAGCGAGCTAAACACGCGCTTGCTAGATTTGAACTGCTGCGTGAAGAACTCCTCCAGCTTTAGCTGCATCTTGAACAGGTCCGGTGTTGTGCTGCGGCTCATCAGGATCTGGAGCTGGTGCCAACTCAGCGTGCCGTGAGTCAGGATTATCGCTGGCCTGTGTTCGATTTCAATAAAATAATATAAATGGCAATACTCGTGTAAATGAAGTAGTGACTAGTCTTAGATCCATTTAGGATCGGTGATTTATAAGATTTTATCATAAATATATATATATTTTGTGTATTTTAATTATTCTAATAGAAAGAGATCAAATGTAATAATTTCTCAATTGAACTTCACCGTGTGAAATTAAACAGGGGGAAAATAATCTTATGCAATTTTCTTGCTGGTTCTCAAAATTAGGGACCTAATTATTTTTTTAGTCTTTAAGTCTTATAAAAATAATTTTTCAATAGGGGTTTAGACCACTTTTTTTATATTTTTATTTAATGTTAATATAATAAGTTAAAATTTAAAAATAAATGTAATCGTCAAAATTTTTCGCGAAAACGCCATCTACTGTCGTAGCGTCATTATGACATCACGCTCCTTTAAAACCAATATCGTTCTATGTACGCATTAGGTTTAATAAAAGTTCTGATAGGAGTAGAGGGGCGTGACGAGTATAAAACATTTGTTTTTTCATTATTAATTTAAGCAATATCATAAACATTATAAGCGTGAAAGTTTGATTATGGTCAATAATAACACTTCATTTACCGTCTCTACCTGTATTGAACCAGTAACTCACGAGATTGGCGCGTTCAAGCAAATAAACTGTTAAACGCCCAATGTCACCTATGCCCAATACACGTAATACCATTCTTTATATCTTAATTCTAATATATAAATCCCGCGATCCCAATTTACTAAATTAATTTTATCCGTTACGGCCAGAGTAAATGTATATGTTATATTACGCAAATGTCCAGCCGTATTGAACCAGTAGCTCGTGAGATTGGCGCATACAAGCAAATAAACTGTTCAACATATAGCATAGTTATAGTGACCGTGCGTGCGCGGGCGCGTGCGCGCGCTGCAGCCAGTGGTCGCGCAGGTTGGCGCGCAGGCGCGACACGCGCGCCAGCAGCACGGGCGTGCCCATGTACTCCAGGCGCAGCTCCAGCGCCGCCAGCCGCACGCCCAGCACGTGCCCCGGGCTGCAGCCCGGCTCCTCCTCTATGTGCACTGTGCGCAGAACCACACCATTAGTCATCATTCACAAAAGTTCACAGGACAACACGATATTGTGGTTTACTTATTGATAATTGATTTAGTCGTGTAATAATCGTTTTCAATAATCTAGAAAAAGGTATAAGTTAACTAGAAACCGCTTAATATAATAGCGTAAGCAGATTTGTCGTTTCACTAAACCTGTAAATTTAAGTAATGCCATACTGAGCACTTGCTTAGATAGGCAACGTTTGTTTATGATTTTGCATACTCCATATCTTTTTTTTAATTACGTTTACACAATTCCGCCAATGTCACGTTAGTGGCCTTTATACGTAATGTCATTGGTTACATCTTAACTCTAATAATAAAATAGACGATTTCAATTAACTAAATTAATTTTATCTCTTGCCACATCCGTTAGGGCCAAAGAGTAAATGTAAATGTCACATTACGCAAATGTCCAGCGCTAGGCGACGCACAATGCATGTCCTAACTTTAAGCGTTGCTTAAAGTCCTCAAGTGGCTCCTTGACACTGGTGACTGGTGACGCATTTCCACCTTAACATCAATCTCTTAAGCATCACCGATACCGGTGCCGCGCATAGGATACATGAAATGAATGGTGTGATGTGTATGTATATATTACCGTATGTATCTATGGAGGAGAGCGAGATGGCGCCGCCGACGATGCCGCCGCGCGCGTCGAGCGCGGAGCCGGCGAGCGCGACGCCCAGCAGCATGTTGCGGCGGCCCGTGCTGCCGATGCTCAGCCGCCCCGAGCAACGGAAGTCGCGGCTCTGCCAACTGTACCACCCACCGCACTCGCATCATACACATACAACACTTATCAAATGAAATCATCACCAGCCCATGTCCCAACTGCTAGGTGAGCCCTAGGCCTTCCATATAGATAGAGTCAAATAGAGCTATAATCCACTACACGGGCTCAGTGTGAATTGGTCTAAATTAAATACTGCAGATGCCGGTACCAACAGCTTAAATTACGGAGGAGTTCGAGATAATAAATTTTTGGCCGCGAACGCGAAGTCCTTACTTTTATCCGAAGGACCAAAAACTGTAGGGGATACCTACAATTTATATGTATATGTAGGGAGAAGGAAACGTAATAAATCACCAAACCCAATGAGTGCTGTTTGTGCACTGGTTTAATGTAATAAAATTATAAATGACAATAATTAATACATGAATTTAGGTAACAGAGCGTTAAACTTGAAATACTGATCAGACTATTATTTTTACCAACATACAATGCATATTAACTCGTACACCCATCCTATTGAGAAAGTTGCTTAACCGTATCGCAACACGAGCGCGCTAGCTACTGTGCCATCGAGCTCTTCACTTTATTATAATTTAAAAAAAAATCTTATTTGTCACCGATTGACATAATTCAGAAAATTTCGAATCGTTCTCATTACTTTGTTAATATAATATCAGTACATTACCTGTGCATCGGAGGCAGAGTCAGGTTATACCGCCATTGTATCATGAATTATCGAAAAATACGTTTCATTAGAGTCGTATAAGCATTTGGAAAGGAGATAAAATTTCGGAGAAATAGAATAGGCCTGTGGGTGTCGTGTTAATTCGTAAGAGTAATACAAAAACTTTTTTTTATCTTTAAAACTACATTTAAACCTACTCAATGTAAGCACAAAACGCATGTATGTTAATATAATGAAAGTTAATATTCTTACAGGATTATTTACTATTCTAGAGACATTTCATTGGACGAATTTAAATTTAAGTATTTGATTTTGAAGTGTGAATAAAGTAGAAGTTTTTATATAAATATAAGACCTTTTTTGCTGAAGCCATTGAACCATTAAATTCCAAATAAAACGTCGAGCGAGCATGCGATCGTTGAGTGAACTGACCTGACGTTCCCCATGACGTTGCCCATGTTCATGTGCACGTTGAGCCGCGTGAAGTTAACGGCGAATAGCACCAGGGTCTCCCACGCCGCGCCCGGCATTGGCGGCAACGCTTTACTCTCTAATCATAAACATAACATCTCATATTTACTCTCTGATCATAATCATAAAATCTCACAATAGTGCTAAAGCTAGTTGATTTAACTGGCAATCTAGCTCGACTTGACACGACTATAAAAGTTCCAAAAGTTTTCTATCCAAATGTAAATACTACATCGGAACCCATTAAGCGGTTTAAAAGGAATTTAAGACCCTACATATATGTGACATGACAGAGACAAATAAAGTAATTTTTCATAAGTAAATTTTTAATGTGAATTTCAACGATGATCCAAGTAACATAAAAGGCTAATATTATAATAAAATAATATTCAGTTGAGGTTTATTACATTTTTTTTAATGATGGCATTACCGTGTGTTACGAAATAAGACTGGTTGTAATTGTAGAACTACGTACGATTTAAGAAAAAATATCTTACCTTTAGGTTTTTGATGATCAACAGTCTTTGTTTTCTCTCTCTGAGGTAGCACCGGTGATACAGGTACAGTTGATGACGACCTAATAACAACATTCAAAAATGAATTCGTCTGCGACTCTGTCATATATTATTAAAAATTATGTTAATTTAAATTTATTGGTCATTTACATTGGAATTATAGTTTTTTACGATCGAACACTCGGGTTTAAATTGTTGAGGGTCTGGACTCCAGCGGTTCAAAGTCAGTCAAAGCCACTAACATCCTTAACTTCAATAGAGATGGTGACTACATTTTTGTTTGTCCGTCAGGTAGATTTTTGAAAAACAATAGGCACATTTTTTTGTAATTAATAAATCACGGCTATACACTGAGTTAAAATGTCGTTAGACGTCACATTTTTGTACATTTTCTAGATATTTATGACGTAGCGAGCCTTTTCCTTTAAATTTACCTTGTTAAATTGTAGCAAAAAAAATTATGTTACTTATATTTTTGTATTATCTGACTGACGGAATAAATAGAATTTCTGTTTTTTTTTACCCAGTCATCATCCCTATTACTCTGTGATCATGATGCTTGTAATAGCGCCGAAATATCGGGGGCTCTATAAATATAAATATAACGTAATTATTTTGATTTATTTGAACATTAATTTGATGCAGTTCGTACCCCTGTTCGTTGAGACTGAGGTCCCCCAAGAACATGCGTCGCACGATGGTGCGGCGGTACCAGGCGCGCGGGAACGCCAGGATCTCGCTCAGGCGACGCATGTCGTATTTGAACCACGCCGATCCAACGTCAACGATAGCTAAAAACATTTACATTTTATTTTAACTGACACAACGACATGTGTACATTTGTCAGAGTCCAAGTTACTAGAACCCCAATACATATAACATAAAAATATTTTTATTTTAAAATTACCACACACACATTTCAGGCCAATTTGAAGAGATCACATAGTAAAATTTGACTGCGAGCCAAGTTCGAATTCTGCTATAAACGCCATACAATGTGAGACGATTCAGCGCAATAAACGATATGATATGACAGCCGTTAAAGAGTATTTTAACAATGAACACAAAATATTATAACACTAATCAGTGATAACAGTGTACATTATAATCCTAAAACATCCAAATCTCTTATAATAGAAATCTATCGAAAGACTTACTAGAGAATCTAACGGTGGCCTTTGACTGGTCATGATCCGCTTGAAAGTCGAGCTTGCGCGAGCGAGACAGGTGGAACTTGACGAACTCGACGTTGATGGAGAGCGAATCTTTCCGTTCGGTGTCCGACAGTGGCGACCACTGCGCCTCCTTTAGACTGGACTTCTTGCCGCCGTACGGGTGGAACACGTACACAGAGAAGTCAGCCAAACAACCGGTCACGCTTAGCCCACCCATCGCGACGGCCGGCTCCGACATCTCTCTGAGTTACATTATAGTTTGGTTTCAATCTATTGTGTATAGCGGGAGGGAACCTTTATTTGTGGTTATTAAAAAATGAGATCGTGTCAACAAGATACTAGTAAAGCAAAAATGCTCAAAGGTTGCAAACACAGTAACTTGGAGATTGCGATCCAAGTGCTGAATTTGCAATTCTGCACACTCCAATAAGTTAATAATGTTAAAACAAAAGATTGAAAGTTTGTAATCTATGCTATTTGAATAGCTGTTGGTTGTCAAAGGTAAATAAATAAATAAAAAATGTGGAATCTTTAGTAATGATAACAAATGACTTATATTACACTAATTTACACAAAGTAAAGCATATTTATTCTATGACGTGGATAAAATTATTCATTTAAAAACAGTTGTCCTTTATTTTTTGTTTTAAAATAATTTTGTCTCACATGCGAAAACTAACCTTATATAGAAAAAAACAAAAATTTTAAAGATAAACGATACTGACTCGTCGCCGGCTCGCTTGGAGCTGAACACTATCTGGAGACTGGGCAGCTGCAATAGACACTCTACTCTCGAGGCGGGCAGACAGCTGAACCGGAAGGTGGAGGGCTGCATGTGGAATTGTACGATCACGTCTACGGGGAAGGACGCGTACACGTACTGGCCGTACGTGGCGCCGCCCGCGCCCTCCGACGCTTCCGCCCCGCCCACGCTCGATCGGTCGCCCGCTTCTGACCAATACAACGATAATCACCGAATAAGTTCATGATTTTCAACCTTATTAACATGACGCCTGAGGACCTTTTCTATTTGTCCAACAAGGAAAATCTTATACGTGAAAATTATCTGTGCATCAGGGACAGTGTCAAATCCTTCTTTGCACCGTAAGTTATTGAAAAATGCGTTTCGTTGGAATCGTTTTAGCACTTTGAAAACAGACGATTTCATTGTCAAAAAAGTAGAATAGGCCTTTAGGTGTTATTTAAATTCGTACGAATCTTCCACGCTCCCTACTTATATAAAACTGCATTAAAACCAATAGTAAAGTCTGTCACCGACCGTCCCCAGTATATAGTATTGATATAAACTAAACTGTATATTTCATTTGCAATAAGATAAAAATTCACATTAGACATAATAAACCTGTTATCTTATATTTTTACTTTTTCGATATATATCTATCTGTACGAAGTAAATTTAGGATTTTACTCTTTGAATTTAAAAACACAATTGTACATCTATTAATACCTAATACTATACGATACGATTAGAATGAATATACTTACCGGGAGGGGGAGCGGAAAATGCTTTCGTAGGTATCGGTTCCAACGTTTGTTCCAAGAACTCTAGTATATGAGGGCTGATAATGGTCTCCTCGGGTATACTCTGAACGGTGATCCAGGCGAACAGGGCCGCTTTTTTCGTGGCCACCTTACGAGCCGGAGCGCCGCTCGATAGAGGAGACGCGGCCTCTTCCGGCAAGGTTTTGGATTCGTAGTGCACCTTGAGTAATACCAACGTAACTTAACAGCTTATCATAAATAATACTTTATATGTGGTGTAACTGATAAATTATTGTTTAAATGTTAGATGACATTAGATTTGCCGCTCGATTATATAACGCATGTGTGTTATGCAAACCGGAAAGATCGAATATACTAACAAGAAACTCTGAAACAACATAGAAAGTAGTGTTCTACATCAACGCAGTTAACAATGGAACCTGTAACCTGAAATAACAAATTAACTCTAATAATTACCTTCAGGTCTAGTCCCGGAACACGGAATACGGTGAGGTCTAAACTGGGCTGGTGCCGCGCAGCGTGGGCGGCGCCCTTGCGTCGGCCGCCCCCTGCTGCGCCCCCGCTGGCGGGAGGTGCGGGGGCGGGGGCGGGGGCGGAGGGCCCGGGGGGCGACCCTCCCGCGCCCGTCTCGCCCAGCCCACCGGACGTAGAGCGACCCACGCGCATGCGCCCACCGCTGCCATCATGAAACCCCAATGTTATACATGAACCCAACTATACGGACCCATAACAATACTGACTTATTGCATAACAAGCGAAACCAGATCAACTTTCTTTTATATCTCTTCATTACCGATGCGTTCGCTGAGCATTGACAATGTAAGTTTTGTGAGTTCTACAGGTATAAACGATATTTGAAAACAAGTAGTAGAATCGTTAATTTTGTTTAGTTTACCTAACTAACTGTTTTGAACCTTATCACTATCATATGCATATGAAGTAAGTTTTTATAAAGGAATCTATCTAATTATCTTCACGCTGAAGCACTTGCGGGGTATGCAGAAAGAACCGTGGATTACAACCCAAGTTTTGTCATTTTTATTTAAAACTAATTTTCCGTCAGCGGCTTCGCCTGCGTGGTATTTAGGCAACAGTTTATGTGGACAGCAATTCATATCATGTCACGGATATAATAACAATGACATATTGAATATTAAACAATGGTTACTATGGAAACATTTTAACGCCCCATACAAACTTCCACTCCCATTTTCATCTCTTTACAGGTTGATAAATAGCCTATGTTCACCGCATATGATATAGCTTCCCGTTGGTGAAAGAATTTTTAAAATCGGTCCAGTAATTTCGGAGCAATCAATCAATCAAATATTAGTATCCTATTATCATTATAAACGAGAAAGTTTCGTTGTTTAGATGTTTGTCCGTTAATCACGTCGAAACTACTAAATGGATTTTGATGAAATTTAGTATAGGATACTTTTTATCCCACTAAACATTTTTATAGAGACCACGTGGGCGAAACCGCTGGCGAAAGCAAATAGATCATATATGGATATTTCAATAAAGAAATAAAAAAAAAGAAAACTGTTAAATATTGAACTAAAGCACTAGCAACACCTATTGTCGCTGAAAACTATGTTCGTGGTTCCTAGATTAACGAATCGAATAACTAATCTTCAAATATACATACATCTTCATGTCGTCCTCTCTGGAAGGCTCCTTGGTGTGGAGGACGCATTTCCCACTATTAATGTGAACTTTCACGTCCAACTCAAAGTCTATACTCGGCTCTGCGGTTTTGGGCTTGTTTTGTTTGCTTTCAGAATTCTGGCCGTCAACGCCAGCGCTGTAATAACATTAAATTATTAGTATGATTTCTAGTTGTACTTTTAAGAAAGCAAATGGTGCTGTGCTTTCAGTCCGTTTAATTATATTATATACTAGGTATGAATTCTTTTGAAACTCTATAGGTAATTGATTACTTGGTGTTTATAACAATTACTATGTTAGAAATGGTAACTTATATTTTACAACTATAACCAAATAGTCGTTTTAAGTACATTTTCAGTAGCATAACAAATAAGTGATATATTTAAAAGGAAACCCAAAAGAGTTTTTTTTTAATTTACACCATAAATATACCTACTTGCCTGACCAAGATTTGAGGGTAGTATGTAAACTAATTAATTGTCATTCGACAGCTCGATTCTTTATTTAATCGTGTATCAAGTGCCATTGTATTAGACAAGGGGAGAATATGTAGAAAAATAAAACATGTTTTTATTTTTATTTTCTTGGTCGGGCCAAGAACTTTTCAAACCACCCTCGTATCAAGACTAGTCAGCCGTTTCATTTTCTACCAACACCTGAGCACCTAACCCTTTACAGGTGTCAATAGCCTGACGCAGTGAGTGAGTGAGTGAGTGAATGAGACCTGTGGTCGGCGTGTCGGCGCAGCTGCACGGTGGCGAGGTCGGCCGGCCAGTGGTCGGGGTGCGCGGGCAGCGAGCTCTGCCGCTGCACGGGCGGCGGCTGGAACGTCACCGAGCGCGCGCCCCCCGCGCCGCCGCCCGCGCCCGCGCACCGCAGCGACGCCGACCGGGACGGGCCAGACGCTGGACTAGTCTTCGATTCTGATATATCGATATGAACGTATATGTTATTGAGTAGCTCGGTGGCGTAGTGGATAAGCAACATTCGCAAGGGTCGGTCACGGGATGAGTGACGCTATTCTGGAAGATTGAATGTCAATTCATGTTCGATCAACAATATAACTAGATAACGCCTCGCACACTAAAACAATTCCCTAATACGGTACCATACAGTGCGAAAACCAATGAACATAATACCACAGTATATTCTGTGATAATACTCTAGGCGAGAATAGAGCTGTATTTTATTTTTTTAATAAAAATACGTATAATTTTATACTATAGGTACTGAATATTATGATATTTTTTTTTACTGAAAATGACAGTTTACTTGGTTAATTTAAAAATTAAAAATTTGTTTTGAGTACATAATTAAAGTTATGTAAATTTAACTTTAATATTTTTTGTGAAATTCATATAATATTTTTTGTGAAAATAAGCACAATTACTAATTTAAAATTAAGAATTAAACATTATAACTTTAATAAACAAGAACATAGCTACTTTCAAACAAGTATTACAGTGTGTGATCTGGGTTGAGTTTTTATTCGACCCGTTTAGGTATATTCCAACATTCATCTTCATTAAAAACTATTAATATTCAATCACCGATTTAAGTGATTCTGTTTTATGGTTAAATTCGTCACTTTCAGGGAACGCATCTTATTTGTTTTAAAATTTGTTGTAAATAGATACTCGATATACATATAAAACACACAGAGCGATACAAACCTACATGTTCTTGTACACGGCTTTGTGATCGAGAACACGAACCACTACAGCAAAATGGTTTTCAAATAGTATTAATTTTTTTGGTAAAAAATTTGTTAATGGTACACTACTCCATGCAAGTGTCTTAGAACATCGAATATTTGGTCAAATGTTTGCCATGTTGGCGCGTAGGTTGGTTAAGAAACAAAACTCTGTTATTTTATTGAAAATACTTTGATTATTAATGTAACAAACAACCTATACTCCATTCATTATAGCATTAGACAGAAGTTAAATAAGGTTCTTTTTATGGTATACTTTGTGATAAAATATTAATAATCATGTTACTCTTAAGACTGACGGCTAATTTGCTACATTTCCACTTAAATACCAACTGCTATACTTAACTGTTCTCATTTAAGCTATCTATTAAACACATTTATGAGTATTTGACCAACGTAAATGATTTAATAACTATTACAATAAAGAGTGTGCATCTTAAAGAAGAGTAGCTCGGTGGCGTAGTGGATAAGCGCCGCGGCCCGCGATCGTTGTCGTTAAGCAACTTTCGCAAGGGTCGGTCACGGGATGGGTGACCAAAAATTATTATCTCGAGCTACTCCGTGCTTCGGAAGGCACGTTAAGCCGTTGGTCCCGGCTGCATTTGCAGTCGTTAATACCCTCCAATCCGCATTGGGCCAGCGTGGAGGGTCATGGCCCATCCTCCTTAACCATCCATAAGGAAGGCCTGAGCCGCTGCAGTGGGGACGTAAAAGGGCTGGTGATAGTGATAGATAGATCTTAAAGAACCTAAAGTAGCAGGGTTGGATAGTTTCGGTACGATTCTCATGTCACTATAACTCTACCAAGTTTAAAACGTTGCCTCTTCTCTTCAAACGTTTCGGCAGTACAGGTTTTTAGTTTTGTCAGACTATTATGTATTCATAATTGTTAAAATATGTAATCTGGGATTGTCATCCGTTGTGAATGCTACTGCCTTTCTTGTTCTTTTGCCGTTTTCCGTGATTAAGTTGTTATTGATTTATTTTTATAATTTGTTATAGTATTGTTTTTGTTGTTAAGTTAAGTTTTGTTAAATACAACAATTATGCTTTAATCCCCCATACCTACATTCAACCTTTGCCATTCCAGGAAGTTTTTCTAATGTCTGCATCTATAGTCTAACTAATGTCTGAATAAAACTAAATTCTATTCTAATTATATGCACTTACAATTAGAATTTATCAAAACAACAGATAGATAATTTTAGTTCCATGTTGGCTTGAGAGTGAAAGATGAATTAAGAAAATGCTGGCCTCATCTCAACCCCGAGGTATCGTAAAAAATGGAAAATTGTCCAGCTCTTTCAGACTACCTAACGTTCGAAGTTTCAACAAAACTATAATAAGTATATATTTTTTAAATTCATCTTTGAAATAAAATCTTTTGCACTGCTGCTTCTATGACCCTCTTTTTTCTAATGTTATAATGAATGGAGTATAAAACAGAATAAGAAGACTGTGAAGTGAGGCGTTTTTCATGGACCAATTTTAAGACTGACTGAGTATCTAGTCATATCGTTGATCGAAGCATTTCATATATTGATTCCGCCTGACTGACAATTGAACGAAGATTATGCTATTTAAAAGAAACAATACCAGAACAAAACCACAGTTGATGATGTAATGTTGGAACGAATAATTGATTTATATCTTGAAAGTGTCTTTGAAAGGGTTTACATAGAAATTAGGGAGAGTACTGGGAGCAGTTCGATCGGCACGGGCAGACGTACGCGATATCGTTGCTAGCGGTAATCAGAGGGTACTCGGAGATACGCTTTTAAAATGCAGGTGAAACTAGCTAACTATCCAATATTTATGTAACTGGTATTTCTATAGTCTTCAGCAGGTTATACAAAACTGTCAAATTCCTCATACGATTTTAAACCTAAAATCAATAACGGAAATTAGACATATTATGGGAACCTGACATGTAGCCTTGGGTACAAAATAAATCATCATAAGTCGTTTTACGTCCCCTCTGCTCAGGGCTCAGGCTTACCTTATATATGGTTAAAAATAATAATTTACAAAATAAAATTATAATATTGTCGATGGTATTCATGTATTGACTAATGTGTCCAGTACAATTAACGCTATTACTGACCTGCTAGCGGCTCACTCTCCATAGAGCTCCAGCTGCCGCCTTCTATGATATCAGCGAGGCGGTCGTGTTCGTCCCCCAGCAGTAATGTTTCACCCGAATCACCAACGCCGCCCATTACTCCGAAACTGGGCTCTCCTGCACTCCCCACTTCACTGATGGTGATAATAAAGTTCAATTCACTTTGAAAGGTAAACTCAATATGGATTAAAGAAACTGCATGTAAAAGCTATAATGAGCAATGAGATTTCAACGCTATGTAATCTGAAAGCGATGAGGAAGTATTTAAAAATAAAAAGAAAGCACCAAAAAAGCACCTCCACTATTTATTTTTGCAGGAAACGAATGGACAAAAGATAGATAGTATATCCGTTCCCTTTAACTAACATATTAAAAAACTGAAATTTGCAAAGTTCGAAACCTATATATCAATACAAATACGAAAAAGTACAAATAGATATGAGTTGTTTATTAAGTTTTGAAAACTAATTTACTTTTGTACATAATAGAAAACCGGAAGAAATCAAGAATGTACCGTAGCGACATCTAGTTTAATTTCGAGAACTAATGTTTTTTTTTTAAATACTTCCTCATTGGTATTAAATATAGAAAACATTACACCCATGTTTGAGTACACCCATCCAACAGTACTACAGATCACCAGACTGTTGATTACATAAATTAAAATTAGTTAACAATAAGCTTTTTAAAATGACATGATAAATGATGAGAATTGATGAATGAATACTTTTATTGTACACTATAATTATATAAAAGGATAATCGATACAATTTAGTGGTACAATCGGCGGCCTTATCGCTAAAAAGCAATTTCTTCCAAGCAACCGCAGGTTAGACTGGACTATTACTTAACTTAATTGACCGATGGCCATCGTACTGACAAGCCATCTACTAACGTTACCGACTTTTTTCCAAAATAATTTTAATAAAAACCCAAGCTGCTTATTCTTTAACTTTAAAGTTCCAGTATAATACAGTTTCGAACGACTATTTGTTTGATTGAATAGTGAGACTACACAAATATATAGCTTTTTGCTGCTCAAATGTAGACTAAAAGTGTTTTAAAAGATGTAATTAGTAATCTTTAATTTGCCTACGACCATATTTTGATACTGGAACTGAAAAATGGAACTGGACAGATCTTTCACGACAGTATAAAGGAAATATGCAGCTACAAAAATTGCACATTTATAAATGTATGGATGTTATATCTTCAAGGTATGATGTATATGAACACCAAAGCGCAACACATCACACACATCTATATATTTATTTTCAGTGCATTACCTATTTATGTTAACTTCTGACCTGTCGACGTCGTGTCTTTCTGGCGGCGGGTCCGCGGCCATGAACGATCTGGAACGATTCGAGCCGAGGCCCAGCTTGCCTTTGGTTATAGAGCTGGCTCGTACACTTTGTCGTCGAAGTTTCTGGATCATATCCCTGTACACATAGGTGCTCATGATATGATTACAATTGTGGGATTCCAATAAATCATATGCTGAGAGATACTTCACATATCATTCCCAATTTATTATTACTAAATAAATCTCACATTTAGGAGCGAAGCTTGGTCGTATTGTACGCAATCAAATATAATGTACACGTACGTATACGTATAAGGTATACGTATGTAAGACTAGAATGCAAACACGCGAGTACTAACAGGAGAAACATTTTTCAAATGATAAATTTTATTATTATTAGCCTTAAAATGATATTGTAAATGGTGATGTGGGAGAAATAATATGTCCTTGTCGTTCAAATGCGACGCTTACAGGGCTTGAAACCGGTCAGAATAAACTGTTTTTATTTAGGTAACACCTGTTCTCTTATAATGTTCCGTTCCGGATGGGAACTAGCGGAGTGTAATTCGGATGGAATAAAAACCGGTTAATTCGCTTGGTTCGTTAAGCGACGATATTTATCATACCTGTGCACAGATGTTATAGATAGGAGTAAAAGCACTTAAAAACCGCGCTGAAGTTTGTGAGATCATTGTTTGGAGTCATATTTAAACCGGTTAATGAAGAAAACCGTATTTCTAGTGAACCAGTTTAAAAACCTGTTCAAAGGAGCTGAACCTTTTATGTAAAGTTTCGCATGTACTTACGTTGAACTGGTTTAAAAAATTAACCGGTTTCCAAGCCCTGAACGCTGTCAGTTTATAACGTCATAAGTTTTTCTACGTCTTTTAATCAATACCTTCGGAAATCTTTGAAGACGAGCGCTTCCAGATCGTGTAACCTCTTCATCTCGTACTCGATAGTGGAGTGGCTGGCGCCGAGCGTACGCAGATCGTTGATGATCTTCGCCTGTTCGTTCATCTCCTTCTCTATCAACTTGGACCGTTGCTTCGAGTCTATGCTTGTATCGAATACGAAGGCCGGCAAGTGGTCCGTGCACTTGCGCCGAAGGATTATACTCTCCTAATTAACGAATATTCAGTTTAGTTTAACAAACGTTGAAAGAAAAATCAAGCTTAGCATTTATAAAGTTTATTAAAACAAAATTCCATTTTTGAACTTTTTGTATAGATTTAGGTTACACAAATTTATCACTTTGTGAAGTTTCAGAAAGAGGTCTCTAACTACTGTATACTACTAAATGTAAGCTAATAGCTAGCTTCGATTTTTACCTGGGAATCTTTGCTATTGTCTGCTTCATCGTCAAAGTCGCTTTCGTAATCCATTTTCAAAGGATCTTCTTCTTCAAAACCTTAAAAAAACACAGTCCAATCATCGATAGTATTTATTCTAAAACCAGTCTAATTTTATGGAAATTAAGAGTGTTATTTAAATACCTGTGAGCATTGTTAGCGTGTGACCTAGAGCGGATAGCTGCTTGCCGACATTTACATCGAGATGGATATCAACTCCTTCCATTTGCCACGATACGTTCAAGAACCATTTTGCATTCTCTGCAATAATAACAATAATTTTATAAAACATTAGAGTAGCTCGATAGTGCAATGGTTAGTGCGTTCTGTTTGCGATTGAAGCCATTTACACAAAAGCCGGTCGTCGAGCTTCTCCGTGGTTCGGAAGGCACGTTAAACCATTAGACGCATAGGCCTCTGTATTAGGTCCATTTTCCCTATCTCTTTCCAAAGGTAACAGGATGATGTAATAATTTAATTAACACTTATTATTTGCCGCTTAGAATTAAATTCAGAGACGAAAAGGACCAACACTATCTGCTATGTCGCAGTAGACGCTTTTGACTGGTAGCTCAACGAAACTTTGTCAGGTTAAACTACCTTACAATAGTAAGCTAAAAATGTAATTTATTTTATATCTCACCATGTTTCTTAGCGGCAGTGGTCCGACTGCAGACTTCGTATGTGCCTTCTGATACGCGGCAGACGTTAAGGCTGGGCTCTAACGGCGCAGGCCGCCAGTCATCCAGCGACGCTTCAAAGTCATCAGCAAAGCGTAAACACAGACCGACGAATCGACCCTTGAAAGGCATATTTCATTCTGTGTTATGTTATAAAATTGTCTTCGGATTGTTTGGTAGCTGGACATTTTTAGATATGGGTGAAAGTAAAACAAAAATCTATTTGCATTTATAAAAAAATGTATTATACAAAACTCTCTAAAAGCGTCCAGCTACCGAATTGCACCTCCGATAATCGAATATAGTTATTATATATTAATAACTAGCAAACAAATTATGACACTGAAATGGCAGCCACTCAGCATGTGTCGAATGTCTCAGATTATCTGACTGATTTTTGTGTGGCAATCTCAAGATTTTAAAGCACTAATATATATAACTAATAAAGCAAATACACAAATATTCAGAGACACACATTTAATCAATGAATCGGGATAATGTCTGGGTAGAAATAAAATAAATTATAAAAACAGAAAAATAAAGAGATATGTATTTTTTGCTTTAATTTATCTACATCACAACTACGTAGAAAATATACAAAGGCGAGACTACGCATTATGCAAAAAAAAATGTATATAAAAAAACGTATTTAGTGTTCTTTACTAATCCTTTCAATTCCGGTGAAAACAATCTATAGTATGTGTGGGTATATGGTAAGGTATAATAAAACATTGCATATCTAATTTAGAGTATCCAATATGTATATGTGACTAACCTTGCTGACTAGTGCTCCAGAACTGCACGCGCCCACGCTCGTACTCTCCAGTGTGACCACTACGGCGCCGCGAGCTTCGGATTCGCATCGCCCCGCCCCACGAGCGGGCTGTCACATTATTTAAAATATTAATATGAATATGTATTTTTAAAATAAAAAATGTCATTGAAACTAAATAAGTCAACGATTGTCTTAATAAAAAAAACGTATTGGACAATTCTTTGTTTGCGTGTGTTTGTTGTAACTAAATTACCGACTGAACTCAAAATTGTTACTTAATTTTAAGGCTACCCGTAGATCTATTATTGGTTATCTGACATATGTAACGACATTATAACATAATTTATAAAACTATGGATCTACCAGGATCTACCATGATAAATAAATAAAAATTAAAAAAATTACACTCTGTATAAAAACATTGTAAGTGTTCAATTCATAATGGAACTTACTTAGACACATATAATGAAATGAGATCTAACACGATTGAATTTGCCACTAAAGACACTAGAGTCTTCAAAATATACAATATCATACTTTGCCGGTGAGCTCCGCGCGTTTCTTATCAAATAAACTATTTTTTTTTTATTTTGGGGTACCTGAGATTCATTAGAGCAATTATGAATTACGGGCGCTTGCAATGCTTTAAAAACTCAAATAAGAAATAGGGGTGCAAAATTTAGCGAGTAAACAGCTAATTCAGAGGTAAGCGCATATTAGGCATTATAAAAATGATTTATGTATGTATATTTGAAGGTTATACTCGTAGTAAATAATTTGAATGGACCTTTTGAGACTGACGCGCTATCTGGTGAGCAAAAAAATATAATTACAAAACATAAAAGTAATATAATTACCACTGGCGGTGGATTGAGCGGTAGACAGATGCCGATGTCGTCAACGTTCAATTGTAAGAACAGCGTGCTCGGGTGTGGCGCCGCCGCTGCAGACGACTGTTGCACCTGTAAATGCGATTTAGTAATGACAAGGGTCCTAAAACTAGTCACAGTCCGGTCAAATGGAGGATTTATATAAGTCTCCTTCCAAATGTTATTGTGTAATATTTACAAATACAGGCAGTCCTCGTAATTACGGCATGTTAATCTTAGGTTCTCGAAATACGCGACGTAAAGCGAAACGACGTAAGTCGAGACATATTTTTTCATATATTCACATGTAAAACTCAATGGTTCTCATGGTTCCACAAGAACTCAAAATAAACAAAAAACTAGATTTATACGTTGTTATAAGTATGTATATCATACTTTATTATCAAAATTAAGTAATGAAACAAATTAATGAAATGTAATAACTATAACCTGTTATTATTGTGATATTTTATGAAATTTTCATATATTTCCTACCTAAAGTCCAGAAAATTATAATAATAATTAAGGAATCTCGAAGGAGCGCGAATATTCATGTATTCGTTTCAGGACAGATAGCGAAGCTATTGTTTTTGGAAATATTATTATAATTAGAAATTTTGCAGATAATGTTTTGTGCCAATTACCTACTAAAGTCTGCTAGTTAATAACTAGGTATATATCATACGTTACCTTCTCGAAGACTTGTTGCGTAGCAGTTAGAACCTCTTTGTTGAGATTGAGACGCTTCTCATTCCAGTACTCGTAAGCATTCTTGTAGTTGAGCCACACGAGAATCGCTTTATCCACTGCCACTGGCTGGATGTAGATCAGTGGACGCTTGAGGGTAATCAGTACCACCTCTTTATCTTCGCCGTCTACCATTTCGTCTTGAAATGCGTTGCGCATCGCTAAAATAAAAAAAAATATTATTGAAAAAATCTGAAAAATGATTACGTGATTAGTATAAATCAGAGTTTCCGTGTTCATCTTCTTCAGATTTATTTTGGAATCACATAGGAATTAATATTATCATTAGAAATAGCGTTAAGACTCATAAAAGGAAATTATCCTAGTACAACCTACTCACCTATCCTAGTATTGAAGAAAGCATATTGTTGAAACTCTGGTTCCGCTTCATCGAACATAGCGTTCCGTATGAGTTGTCCCAGACTGAGGTTGAGCAGGACGTGCGCGCGCGCAAACAATCGCGGCGATCCTTGCGAGTCCGCGCGCGGTACGTTCTGTACGCGATTCGATACTTCAAATTCCACCGCACCAGTTTCTAAGCGGACGGCACTGTTGCTAGGCGTCGTCGCAGTCAATTGGATACGCTGCACGCAATAGAATTATATCACCAACAAGCATATAAGTCATAATGAAGTAAAGACATTGTAAAAAAGGAATCGTTGTAAAGCAAATTATTAAGTATACATATTTACTTTTATCCTTATAATCAATGAGAATAGAATCCTGCTGAGAGCCGACGTGGAGACCTCCTCTTCATTCCACAACGGCACAGGTTTTTCACCGCCGTATACTTTTTGTACAACTTCATTTACTTCCTGTAGAGAACAAAACCAGGACACATTAAGAAGTTTAAATCATAAGATGATACGTTACAATACTAATAATTCAAATTATAGCACCACCGACCTTCATGAAGACTTTTTGCACAAAGACCAAGTGGTTGAGCAGGTCCGTAGATAGGGTATGCTCGAACAGTCCAATGTCAGCAGTAGCGGCGAGGTATCGTCCCGCTCGCAGCACCACCCCCTCCGCGCTACCGTTCACCCCCGCACTAGTAGCCCCCGCCCCCGCGGCTGCCGCCCCCGCCCCCAGGTCGGCGGTATCGCCAGCGTGCTCGGCGACGCGCCCCCGCACTTGTACAGCGGGTAACGCTACCGAAGCAGCTGCTGGGAGCTTCGCTTCGCTCACCTATACGGAAGCATACGTTGCATTGAGTTACCAGTTTATTCTACTATTCTAGATTTATAACATTCTAAGGCTATATTGTATTGAAGCGCGAGAATAATTGTATAAGCTATGATTATAAACTGATGAAATATTAGTGGTTTGAATGAAATCGACTCCCTTCCCATCGTGACGACGAAGTAAAAAAAATAGCGGGTACCCAAAAAAATAGCGGGTTCCCAAAATAAAAGCTGGATGGGACTACCTGAAAATTAACTTACTTATCCTCGTTTCTATACGCTTAATAGTTTGTTCCAGATTTTCCTGAATATATGACAGTTGTATGTTTTCATGTCTTTGAAAAAAAAACCTACAGATTCATGATGTAAACATTATATGTTATAATACACAAGTAAATAAATATTTAAAAAAACAATTCTTCAACTTCAAACTCAATTTACAACTGATAAATATTTTTTTATGCAGCCTGGTTATATCATCACTACGTTTTTTATTAATATAAAATAGGTAGATGAATCTTCGTATTTTATATGAAAACTTTCATTATCAAACCCGCTAAAATAACTTTTTTTTATTACTATACATGCGCAAAGGGAACAAATACCTGCAGTTTCGTAACAAAACTAAGCGAGTGCTGCGGTAGGTCGACTGTAAAATGGGCTTTCGTTCCCGTCACTCCAGAACTGTGAACGTGCTCCATCTTGTACTGAGCTTGCAGCGAGGGTAGGAGGGCCGCTGTAATGCTTAAGCTCTAAAAACAATGTAAAAAATACGTCATCAAAGCATCTTGGTAGATATGAAATATATTGTTTATTTAGGTATATCTATTATTAGCAACTTGAATAATTGTTCGTATGGCAACTGCCACTGCACTGCCTATTTAAATGGTCAGAATCTGTTTATCCCCACTACTGTTCAATGCGCAGACATGTAAGTGTAAGTTCATGCGTGCGTGTATATGTAATTTTTATTGCGATAGTCGTAACATGATTCGGCCAATAATTCGAAAAGTTTTGGGGTGCCAAAGAGTGTCACAGACACCTTACACATCAATATATAACTCTGATGGCAGTCACAAACCTGATTTTGAACCGTAACAAGTATACACTAGAAATTATCTGAGAGCACAACACTGACGAAGGAATCATAACGACAAATACAGAATTAAAATGATAATTAATGTCAACACTAGAGTCCGAATAAATGTTCGATTTCGGTCGAATTTCGGCAAAAAACGGGTTTCGGTTTCGGCGACAATCCTGCCGAAACTAAGACCAAAACTGCATTCGAGCGTTCTCGCACTTTAATCGGATGGTTTTAGTTCGAAGCATTGAATTCCATCCAATTGGCGACGAAGCCATATCCCGCGTCTTTGTGGCTAATCATATCGTGATTGGCTTAAGTTTTTATTGTTGTATGTTTTGGTGTGATATATTTTGAGTTCGATAAGTTTTGTCACGTAATATAGCAGAGAGTAGGTAGTCAAACCCATTTGTAATTATCAGTATTTAATCGTTGCCATTTGCAGTCTTATAATTAATGTTGAATTTATAATATAGTACTTTAGCGTTTGTTTCTTTTAAGTTTACAAATCATATAAGTGTACAAATATAATGTCTAAAACAAAAGTTATGGTCATATCCAAAACGGGAAATTGAAATCCAAGTATAGAACTGGCAGGTCTAAAACTTGAGCGAGTTCAGCAATATTAATATCTATAAATATCGCGAGTTAATGTGAACCATTAAGGCATGAGAGGTACCAGTTTTTTCAGCTTATAATGATGGGAAAAGTAATGGCAAAGCGATGAGTTACTAGAAGAAAAAAGTCATGGTACCGAAATTTTCGAGAATGGAGTAAGATAGCTAGTGTTGTAGAACTTGGCATAAGAGAGGGACAAATTCGCTAAGCTATTGGCAAACATCCAGAAATGGAGAAACCACATGAAAAAGAAGAAGTTTACAAAACGACGAAATAAGATGAAGTTCATTACTTAACTACCATTCCTATTATGATATAAGTACCTATTATGATAAAATAAAGACTAATTGATTATAATAACGTTTAAACATGATCGTCGTAAAGAAGTTTCGGTTTCGGTCTCGGCCGAAATCTATACTAATAAATTTAAAATAAGTTTAAAATAAGTTTCTAACTTTGTATGTTTGTTTGTAGGGGATAATCGTACCACCTACGGGAAGGTACATCATACGCAGGTACTATAGGTTATAATTTACGCGGACGACATCATGGGTATAACAGCAAGTTCCTCTTTGCGATCGTTTACCTGCAGCACTATAGAGAACTGTAGATGCAGCGGGTTGAGCAGTGGGTCAGGGGCGCGCGCGGGGGGTGGGGGGCGCGCGGGGGTGGGGGCGGGCGCTTCCTCCGCCGCCTCAGTGCCCCCGCGCGACAGCCGCGACGACGTGCGCGTTACGCCCAATTCCTACGGGTATACAATTATACTGTTTAATATACTATGCAATTTTTGCAATAAATTTTAACTTATGGAATAAGAGATGAGTAGCTTGGTGGCGGAGTGGATAAGTGCCGCAACCTGCAATTGTAAGCAACTTTCACAAGGGTTGGTTACAGGATAGGTGACCAAAAATTTATAATCTCGTGCTACTCCGTGCTCCGGAAGGCACGTAAAGCCATTGGTCTCGGCTGCACTTGGAATTATTAATAGCCTCCAATCCGCATTTGGCCAGCGTGGAGCATCATGGCCTCTTTAAGCATCCACAGGAAGACCTGAGCCCCCATAGCGAAAACGTAAAAGGGCTGATGATGATAAGAGGTGATCTGTCTGAGACCAACTGACTCATTGACTGTCATATTTTACGACAAATAGTCGTAACCTTCACTTTTGTATGCGAATGACGGCAGGAGCGCGTCATATTGCCACTCACCTGCAGGGTGGAGGACAGCTGACGGCTGGAGCGAGTCATGACGCCGTGTAAAGCCACGGGGTGCTGCGGCAGGTCGACACGTACGCTGCCCACGCTGGCCAGGCCCGCTGCTCCAGCGCGGCCCGCCTCCCACGAGTACAAAGCCTGAGATTTGCCTACGTTGACACGAACTACAGTCCTGGACACGAAAAGAGAATTTGAAACACAGGTATGAGAGCCAAGGAGTTCTTGAACTCGGTGAGTCACGAGTCATAGAAAGCTGAAGACGGGAACCACCAGTATGTAGCAGCGTAACACGTATATAGTCTCTATATATGCGAAATGAACTATGTAAAAGTAATTTGTTAATTATGAGTACACTGAGCTATTATAAAAACGATACGTCAGCAATGTACGGCTAGCTCGTGCAATGATAGTCGATCAATAAGAGTGCACTGACTGGTGGTTGGGCGCGACGCCCTCGAGCAGCACGATCATGGAGCGGCCGAGGTTGCCGGAGAGCGACCACTGGCGGGCGCGCGAGGCGGACAGCGAGGCCTGCAGCGAGGTGAGCTCGGCCTCCAGCTTGAGGCCGGACAGCGAGGCCAGCAGCCGCGTGCGGTGGATGCGCGCCACGCCCACCAGCACCAGCGCCAGCGCCGCGCTGCCCCCGCCCCCGCCCCCGCCCGCGCCCCCTCCCGCACTGCTGCCCGGCCGCGCGCGCCCGCTGCCGCTCCACCCCTCCGGCAGCTCCCGGGATACGGAAAATCTGCGTAACAAATTTAACTATTCAAAAAATGTACTTATACAGGGTTATTTATAAAACACCGTCAACCTTGCAGAACTCTATAGACAATATTATAAAAACGACATATTTTCTCCGTTCTTTGACATTTTACCGTCATACGGAAATAAAATTAGTATTAGTAGTAGTAAGTCGCGAGTGAAGCCTTGTCCTTTCTAATAAAAAAAATGAAAAATGTTTTTTGCTCAAAAAATTGAGTTCTGTTAAAATTATTTACTGACAGTTGTCATTTATGACGTTAGCTATCTAATTCCAAGAAGTTCCAGGTGTTTTTCAAACAACCCTGTTTATTATGAATAAGCATCGGTTTCTATTCGTTCACTTAACTTCATGTATATTCGGTACATTTAATTTTGCATGCTCGATATACCCCACGTTTCAGGTTTAGTGCGTAACAACGGACCGATATAAAATTTCATAATACACCTAATTTATTTAATAAATGAATGATAATTTCAATAACCATTGGAAAACAATCCTGATTCAATAAATAGCTTACAGTAACACAAATAAAAGCCAAAAAAATACAAACCTATGCGTGATTGTTTCAGCATCTGGCATGTTAGCGTACAGGTCGAGTAGTAAGTACACGGTCCGCCAACAGCGCGGCGCCAGTACTTTGTCATCGGGCGCGGGCGAGACTGCGCTGGTTGGTCCCTCGGGGGCTGCGGGGGCGATGGGCACCACTGGCGGCACAGTCATCGACGCGGGGAGCGGTGAAACGCCACCGGAGGGGAACATCGGCGTGTGAGCACCTTCGTTCAACGAACTGTAGCCTACGAGAAAACAGTATCTGCTTTCATCACTCCCCGTCATTAAAAATACCAGCAAAGATTCGGAGCAGCATTCTGAATTTCTGAGTTAGAATTGAATTACGTGACTTCATTCATAGGAAGCTGTCCTTCCAGATTTAGTGTATTTTAAACTTTCCTGTATATAGTAGGAAGGTAGTAATTATTAAATACAGTGTACGAATATGTTGTATTTAATTTTCAATAACTTAAATTAAAAAATATAGGAATTTCGTTAAGTATTCAAATTCAGTGAATTAATAATATAAGAACGAAACAGAGGAATCGTCTAATTACTCACACCATTCAAGAAAATATGTTAGCAATTCGAAAATGCATCCATTTTAATCCCAGTAAAGAAATTCATTCTAGGATGACAAAAAATTTAAAAAAATCATGAGCAAATCGTTTTGACTAATTTACAATAACTTGTATTCATAAATAACTAATAAACTAGCATATTTTTTTATTCATTACTTAAATTAAGTTTTATTGTAACCGACTTTGATATCTGCTGTACTATTTATAGAAACAACTGTATTTTTTAGCCGACAACACTGTTATTTTACTTTTGGGATCTGGAAGCACTAATAAGGAGTGTTATATGAGCGTGAATACGCGTAAACCAAGCGCTCACACTCAAACTGGTATTCTGATGTACTTATATGAGATTTTTTTTAAAACTAAATTTAAGTTCAACTCGCTAAATATGCGATAATTCAAATGTTTTTAATTTAAATTATTTATTTAAACATCCGATAGATATACATCGCTTATATATACAACTTTGACTCTCAGTTGTGCCCGTTTTCATTAACCTAGAAAAAGGCATTGCTTAATTAGAAATCACTTAATATTAAGAATAGCAGATTTGTCGTTTCACCAAACCTGTAACGTTAGGTAGTGCCTTACGAAGTTGCTATATATTGTTGCTAGAACTTGCTATATAGGCAACGATTGTCTATGATTTTGCATACTTGAGTCTTCTTCTTTTTTAAAGTAAATAGCTTTACACTATACCGCCACTGTCACGTTAGTGGCCTTTACGCGTAAAGAAACAATAACATATATATATATGTCTTTTATTTACACGAGCACCCAAATCGTCATTGTCCATATATAAATTGTAAAAATTAAAAAATCTCAATTCAAATATATAACTCATTGATTTAATAAGTTGGAAGTAAATTGATTTTATCCCTTGACACATCCGATATAGCCAAAGAGTAAATGTATAATGCATATCCTAACTTTAAGCGTTGCTTAAAGTAGCTAGGTGGCTCCTTGTCACTGGTAAAACGCATTTTCTCCTTAGACAATACCAAAATATTTAGGTATCATATTTGGACGACCCCTAAGTTTAGTGAAAACGGGCATTAATCGACTACATTTGAACGTTCTTTAGTTTTCCGGAATCTTTTAAGATATGTTGACAACCAAACAATTTCCTGAAAAGATACTTCCCATAAATTTAATTGTGACTTACTCGTACGAGTTCCGAGTAAATAAGTTAGTCATAATTTAACGCCTTGAAATAACTTAAACAAACATTGTGGAAAGTGAAGCATAGAGCGTGCACTGACCCAGTTTTCCCTTGACGCTCTTGCCGGTGGACCGTAGCTTTTGGGCGAAGGACTGCGGGCGGGGGCGGGGAGCGAGCGGCGGGCTGGCGGGGGGTGGCGCCCACGTGACCCCCGCCCCCGCCCCCACTCCCGGCACAAACGCGCTGTACTGCGACTGCTTGTCCAGCGATGACACGCTCACTAGATTCTCGCGGAAGTCCGACACTAAACGATAAATTCAAACGCCTCAGTATACACAAACGCTTTACGGTACTGCGAGATAAATAATGGGCAATGGCTGACTTCTTTTGTCCGAAGATGACCAATACCTTTAAACTTATTAGTTTATGAATATTATGAAGAGGGAATATTTGATTATTGGTATGTTTGTTTGCATCGAACAGTCTCCGAAACTACTTGTCCAATGTCAAAAATTCTTTTCCGTACGAGTAGTTTCATCATACGGGGTTGACATAGGCTATAATTAACGCGTGAGAAGTCGCGGGACAACAGCTAGTACAATGATATAGAGGTGCTCTTGCACAGTTTAAGTAATGACACATTAATTAAAGCAAAGACGATGCAGGGTTATATTGTCTCAGTATAGTTATAAAAACGGTAGTCCACGTAGACATTCGTTTAATTTCAATAAATTTGAAATCGTTAATGATTTTTAGGGCCAAACTAATTTTTGTATTTTTTTTAAATGTCAAAGATTATCTGACGTCCTGAACGAGTGGTAGGGAAAAAATGTTGGACGATTCAAAAGTACTTTTAAAAACTCTATTTGAATAAAGATTATTTTGACTTACTTTGATCTTAAAGTACATACTGTATAACTGCACAGGGAAGAAATAAAATAAAAAAGAATAAATATTTTTTAACAATACACATATTTCATAATTCTGTATAAAACGGATGTCAACGGGCCCCTTATAATTCAACTCCGCTGGATCACGACTTCATATTACTCTGCTGTCCCGGTTGTACTTTGTAAACCTTACTGGACTGCATTTATATAAAAGTTAAAAATATGACACCAAGTGTATTTTGTAATCTAATAATAAAAAATTGATTTAACGGGAAAAATGGTATCAATATTACAAGATCAGCGCTGCGCGCAATCCGACATAAGTTTAATAAACGTAAATTTTATTTAGTAACAATAGATTACTCGTTCTAGAAACACGATTTTACGATTTTGATGTTTGGTTGAAAATATTATGCATTTCTCAAGCATTGACTTTTCATATTTATTTAAATATATATCAAACTCACCAGAGGAAGATGTATGTTTGTCCTGACGATGTGATATTTTTGTCTGGCTGCGCAGTTCCGTTTGGGTGTCCTTCACGTTTTGATACATGTTGCTGATCTGATGCAGCAAACGTAGTAGCGGCATATTCACCTATCAATCAAAAAGTCATATATACATACTTTGCACAAATAAAAATGGTAGACTTAATGCCAGTAGGCTCTACCAGTCAATCGAAGAGTTATGAAATAAAGACTTTAATAAGGTTGTGCTTAAAAAATAAAATTAGGTCAATAAAGACAAATATACAATTTCAAAAATCGAATAAGAATTGTATATAGTAGCATATACATGTCAAACATATTACTTATCATAAATAAATAAATACATATAATACATACATACATAAATATAAAATGTCAGATTAATTACAAGCGGTTGGAGAATTCAGAAGCTTTTCACGCAACAATCATTTTAAAGTTAATCTTGCAAAAGCATTCAATTTTTTTTTATTTGTCATTTCTTGTCTTTCGAATCAATTCCAATGCTTAAAAATTTCGATAAGCTTCCCAATGTTCCTAAAATCGTAATAGAGTTCCGAGACGTAAAATCTGCTCTATCAAACAGTACAACTCACCTGTTGCGATATAAAACGCACGCTGATATTGAAATTGATCATAGTGCTGATATGTTTCTTGAGTTGTCCACGCGATATGTACAACACGTTCTGACGTTGGATGAGATCGTCCACCGCCATGTCGGCAACCTTTTTAAGGTCCACGTCCAATGAGACCTTCTCGCAGAGGAACGCGGGCGTTTCCGATGGAATATCGATATGACTCGGATTACCTGTACATTTTTGAAAAAGTAAAAAATTGGAGCTCATTGGCAACCGAAGCCACGCCCACACCCGGGGCGCGGACGCAGCACGCATTGAACATCGCGAGTAATTAGTAGTCAGTTCCTACCTAGTGTAATTTTAGAATAAGAATAGGGCCATTATTATATATTATGTAAGTTCTCCAATGTTTGTTTGCAATCAAGCAAATTTGGAATCGACAAAATTTATCCAGTAGACATAGAATAAATCCTTCCACTATAACTTATTTTTGAGTTCAATAAATTTGCACATCTGAGTAAGTGAAATTTTTACTTATTATTACAATCAATCGTCATTACCACACCAAAATATAGTTTTATTTCGAAAGGAACTTTTACAAACAACATACCAATACACTTACATAAACTAACATTAAAATTGTAGTGTCAGTGATTTGTACTTCTGCTGGAAAGATCTTAAATCTTCTCGGTCCTATAGATATTGGATAAATTACCTTTGGGTTTCTGTGGATGATGGCGTCGATCTCTGGCTAGATCTCCCACAACGATGTCGATACGGAAGGTATCCACCCACGCCAGTAACGACAACTTCGATCCGAGCGACTCTAATGCCGGCTGAGTACTACCTTCACCGCCACCTTTATTTTTAGACTCGCCTACAAACAATATTAAGTATTAGAAATGTAAGTAAATCGAAATTTTTAACTTAAAAAAAAAAGATGATAAAATTGATCTTTTTACGGTAATAATATTAGAAAATTTATACTTAAATCATAGGACATGTCTATGTACACACGCAGATCGTTCAAGTGTACAGTTGCAATAAATCTAAATGTAAGCTACGACAAACTACATATTTTTACACTACGGTATATTTAAAGGAATTTTAGATATGCCATCTAAAATCCCATTAAATATATTTATATCATGTCACCGTGAATGCAGATTTTCCACTTTCCGTGCGCGATGACGTATTCGTGCACATCACGTGACCAACATGACAATTAAAAGCATTCTTTTCTATTACTACGCTTGTAGGTCTTAATTACTCGCTCGCTTATAAGTAAATTTGTATATACAGATTGCGGAGGGTATGTAAAGTCATTGACATCTGCAGTTATTATCGCACGGGCTCGCTGGTTGATTAAGGTCCATTTTCCCGATACGATTCTATCATAAAGAGAGCCTATGATTAAGGAAATATTATTTGAAATACTTCTATATATACAACTAGACATACTTTAGAATGATAGTTTTTTACTAGTATGAACCTTGTTTTTATTACTAGCGTAGCTGTTGTTCCGCGATTTTGCACGCGTACATTATAGCTTATGTCAACCCTGTATGATATAGCTACCTGCAGGTGATAGAATTTTTAAAATCGGTCCAGTAATTTCGGTGCTTATTCGTTGCAAACAAACAATCAAATCTTTCCTCTTTATATATAGACAAGCTGTTCATAACTAAAAATAATAATTAAATGTGAGACATCAACACAAACCAACTCAATATGTATTCTCGTCATCCAGAGTTTAATTGTTAACGGTACTTATTTTTGAACGCAATTACGTCACGAAAATGGCGATCAGGCGCATTAGAAATTTGCGGGGATTATATTATATATAGAAATATGAGCAGCATAGTTATTGTGATATTTATTTTTTTACTTTTATACCAAATCTATAAGCGAAAAAAAATCTTTTGGAAAAAAATCAATTTGTATTGTTAGCTGTTGGTCATCCAAGATAATAGATAAATAAACGTGTTCGGTCGTGTTCACCTTGTGTGACCTGATGCGGCGAGACGCCGAGCGCGGCGAGGAAGGGCTGGAACACGAGGTGCGCGTCCAGCAGCATGAGCGAGCCCTGCAGCGGGTACAGGCTGCACGCGGGCATCGACGCCGCCATCACGCGCGGGTTCATCTTGGACGCGGGTATTATTGGCTTCTTGCTCTTGGGCTCCTTTGACAATCAAAACAATGCGATTGACCAGTGCGAGTGATTTTGACATATCATTACGAAACCCTATTTTAACTTTATTGGAGCATTTTTTTATGAAGCAACATAGAAATTGCCATTCTGCCTTTAAAGCACATAATCTATAGATTTGTTGGAAGAATAAAAATGTTTTGATAAGGCCTTATGAGCAGAGGTCGGAATTAGGTAGAGTTATTTATGTACTTGCGTCGAAATGTTGATATTAATGTGGACCCTCCCGGGATTTCTTTATTTCTTTCTTTCATTGATGTAAGTTTGGCAACGTCGTGCGTGCAGTAGTTTAAATTATGTAAAAGTAAATAACTTTTTATTTAAAAATTCACGGGATTTTTTCTGCTCTTTAAAATTAATCTCGGGATTTGAGGCATATCCACTTTATTCTTTCGCTGTATGAAATCAGTGTAAGTACATTTATAACTCTACCTAATTCCGACCACTGCTGATGAGACACCAAGTGACGTTTTTCACAAAATAAAAACTACCAATAAACATCCAAAGATTTGATTCAAGTTGTCGGGTTAAATACAGGGCATTTTTTTTTAAAGATTAAAATAAATAGTCAACTACTTTTATTCTTAAATATAACAAAAATATTTTTTGTTATGTTTTAGATCAATAATTACCGTACTCAATAACTAGGATAAAATTAGTCTTTCCAAATATTCTTAATGAAAAATGCTTTAAAAATCCACTTTATCCCTGGTACTCTGAGATGGGACTCAAATCCACGACCTTTCGCAATCCGGGCGACTCCTCCAAATTCTAAGCAACCCAGGACTTAACAAGACTGACGAATCTTTCAAGCACTTGTTACTTTTTGCTACTAAAAAGAGTATTATCATCAATGTTTAGGTAATTCACCCAAACAGCCGAAATAAATATTGTTAGAAATATATTAAACTTTCGATAAAGACGAAAACTTGTTCTAAATATTATATGAATTCAATTTTGAATTCGCAATGATGAGTACGAAATTGTTTGTATTCACAATCGATCAAATATAACAGATTCTTACCACTTTCATGGGCTCTTGATTGGCCATCCATTGGTACAGGTCCTCCCTGGCGCGGTCGTTCCTAACGTTCTCGTCGCTGCCGTGAGGGGAGTACAGAGAAGGATTTGATCCAACGGTGGGTAGTTCCTCCTTTAGTGTACCATAGTCTGTGTATTATGGTAAGATTAATGAATAAATTTGCAATACCCTGTTTATTTATATTCGACTCCACAGCGATAGGCACACGACATTCAATTAGCGCGCGAGGTGTATTCCGTTACATATTCTTTCAAATTTGACAATGTGTCTTCAATAGGTTTCAAAAATCTATCAAAAAGTAATTCGCCAAATTGTAGGCAGTCTGTTATAGATCATGAATAGATAATTTACAAATAGAATCTTGGGAGATAGATTATATAATTCATATATTAATTTTAAAAAAACATTAGTTTTTAATTACTATTTTAAAAACCAGATTATACGGTGCTCACTTGATACATATTCGTCAATTTATCTTATAATTTATAATACATATAAGATTATATAATTTAGATTTACTTTTTTTATTATAAAAATAGATAAAATCGGTATAACTCCAAAGCCAAAACTGATATTACTAGAGGTAAGTTCAAAGCGTTTTTAACGAGATAGGCAAACTCCAGTATCTCAAAGGGCAACACTAAAATTGTAAACGAAGTAAAATGGCGTACAATGTACTCACTAGCAATGGCATCATCCTGGAATGGAGGTTTGCGCGTAGAGAACGGCAGTGATGGGAATACTAGACTCGCGCGGCTGCTCTGTGCGCCACGAGCTGTTTTATGAGATGTGACGATAACAAATTAGCGGAATGATTTCCATATTTTTTAGGGATGAGCACTTTTCATAACAACAAGAGGATACTAGTGATATAAAAGCCGGAAGGGGAGACACGCAATTTAAGATGAAATACTGAGGGTTTCTAATGCAAATAAGTTTTCATCTATAGATAATAAAGCATTATTATTTACAAAACAGGGGTACAGAAGTGTATATCCGGAAGTTCACTTAAATGTATCAAACATCAACGTAACATTGTAGACATCTTCAGTATATAAACTTACGAAAGAGGTTAAACTAATGATGTTTCCAATTTCACGTTGATAAATGTAATAAGTATGGAAGTTTTAGGGGCAAGAAACTATCTTTTTACAAACCATAAGCTTATAACAAAAATATATACACAAACGAAAAAGAAACGCTGTACATTGGGTTGTAAACACAAAATTAGAACAAAAAGTTATTTTACATAAAATTATCAAGAGAGGAATATCGTCTAGAAAGTACAAACAACACATTGGGGGCACACAAAGAACAAAACATGCCTTTAACATGATCGATTAATTGAGTCTAACACACACACAAACAGAAAAGCCGTTTAAAATGAAATAACACCACAAATTAACATCAGAGATAATTTCAATTCAGTCACATCGAGATATATAGTAAAACTAATATTCCTACTGGTTGTGGACGATGAACGTGCGAATTTTTGTACTCTCTTGATTTTAATATTAACATAGCACATTGTTATTTATCAATTTAAACAGCTTTTATTTATCTTCTTAAAATATTAACAAGCTGTATGCTCTGCCATTCATCATTCTCTTAACAGCTCACAGTGGCGTAGTTAGTCGTAATTTGACTTTTTGTCGATAAAAAAATACCCCAAGAAATCGGTTTTTTGGTATGTATGAAACTTGATTGATACCATCTACCCAATCAAGATATAGACTTTCATAATGTAACTGGCAAATTACAAAAAGTATACGTTTAGCCAACTAACTCGCTAGGTTGCGCATGTTCCAAACGCTATGCAACCATCGCACGAGTTGGATAGTTCTTGTTATTGTAATAAAATAGTCGAGCCAGTGTGAGTAGACCAGCGATTGAATGCTAATAAAAGTATATCTTTTATTTATTCAGGATCAACATAATGATATCTTCCGAGTCGGCGATTGGCGAACTGCCAGAAGTAGGTGGTTCGATTTTGATGACTACCGTCATAATTGGTATTTTTTTTAATGTATCGCCATTTCACATCCCTACTAGACTAATAGTCCCCACCTAACTACGTCACTGTTGACAAAGAAAGTAGCGCTAACAGGGCAAATACAATTTCCAAGGGTTGCCAATAACAGCTTGAGTACGAACCGGAGGGCGGCGTGGATGGGAACGAGTGCGGACGCGGGCTAGTCACCACCGGCGCTTCATCACAAACGAAACACGTTAATAATGATGCATGTACTATGTGTCCTGCTACGATCAGTGGCGTAGCAGGGACTATTCTAGACGTGGGAGAAGTCGCATCAAACAAGATCTTTCCTAATCTCAAAATAGGTCTCTAAATTATAGCTACATGTTTCTTATAATTGTGATCTCACCATCTACCTGACAGTAGCGTACAATAACTTAAAACCGCCTCACAAGACCTGCCGATGACTGTTTTGGTACTCGGTCATACTTAACCCACGCCTAGATTCGTTATCAACTACAGTTCTATGTAAAGGCTTAAAATACGTTTAAGAGTTGCAAATCAAACGAATTGAACGATATATTTACAAAGAAATATTTTATTTGCTTTTGAATATACTTAAAACTGTATAACTAGCTCATGTTATAACATTGTCTTGTAAACTTCTAAAGATATGGCTATAAAAACGATATTTAATGTGAAACAAGAAAAACTCAAATCAAAACTGTTACGTGTATTTTTGTTTCTTATTTAGGTTTTGTTTCGCATAACAATCCGCACCTATCACAAAAATCAATCACCACAAGATGCCACAGCATGTAAACACTAGCAACGATATTTTCAATGTTAAAATTACATCTCTCAATACAAAAAGTACACAATCAAAAAGTCCATTACAAAAAAGGAATATTTACTTACCAGGAACGTTCACCTTTTCGGTATCCATATCTAGAAGTAGACAGTTTTCATCCAAAACCTCATTGTCCAAAGGATACTCCTGCCAGCCTTCTACGGAATCCTATTTATAGATAACACGAAATGAGTTAAGTTCCGGAATGTGTCCCAAATGAAATTGGACAAGAAAATATTATAATAAAGTATGTTACCTCGAGTAGATCTGGTAAAGCGAACGTAACGTTAAGTGGTTTCATTACTTTGCTCTTGTAGTTGTGTTCTAGGAGGAGGGGGGTGTACAATATGTTCTTCCACTGGCGACTGAGTACTATAACCCCCTGCGAATTGTGATATATAATGAAAAAATGTTTACAGGAATCAGTATAGTGTTATATAGAAATTAGCCAATTCAAATTTTATTGTAAAATGTATCTTCTATAAATAAATTTTAATGTAAAATATTACGTAGGATATTTTAATTAAAATTGGATTGGCCTATCCGATCACTATAAGAGTGTAACTAACTAGAAACCATAATATAAAATAATAATTGTCGGCATATCTTAGAAATAAATAAATAAAATTAAATATAGTTTTTCCTACTAATATTATAGATGAGAAAGTTTGTGTATGTAAGTTTGGTACTCTTTCACGAAAAATATGTTATACGGATGCTTCAGAGTGTGGATTAACACACTTTTTTACTTTTTATCTCACTGAACACGGAACTGTTTAGTTCCCTGGGGACCACGCGGGCAAAGCCGCTGGCGAAAGCTAGTGATTTAATATAGATAAATAATCATCAAATCGAATATTGAATGCTATGCATCTCCATAAGTTATCCTGTTTTTTCATTTACTACATTTTTGATACTTTAAATGCCACCACAGACAACTGAAAAAATTAGGAATATCCTATGGGCGGGCCAGACCACTGTAACGGATGATGTTAAATATTTTGCATGATGGCTTTACCATAGTAGAATTACAAAAAAAAATAAAATTCAAAGACGCAAAGGGCAATACGAGTGTATCAAAAATAATATTGTTACCTGTCGCAACGTGGACAGTGAAGGTAAGTGTCTCTCTGCAAGGTCGGCTTGTACTGCTGCCGCGTCCGCCTGCAGTGCGTGTCTTAACAACACTCCGCACAGCTGCAGGGACGGCTCCTCTCGCAATTGCTTAGCCATCGGTGTGTGACGGCCGTAACGGCTCTGAGGGTGCAGAGATACCGATAGCATTTAATTTAATAATACGTTACTTTGCGGAAGACCATTTCAAAAATATAAACCTACAATATTTATCAACCAAGTTTAGTACATTAGAGTAAATGCATGGTCAATGCATGCACGTGCAGAGCTCGCAAATAAATACACGTGGACAAACGGCAAGAAAACTCACAATCACCATCAATTATTACTATAGCACGGTCTCCGAACAGAAAGAATTTCGTACGTTGACCTTTATGTCTACTGTTAGATATAGTAAACGTTTTTAGTTCACTCCACTATGTACAAAAACTGGCTAGATGCATCTGCGCGAGCGCAATAGCAATATATTTGCGCACGAGTGATTCAGTCTAATCTGCAATCTTGCTTGTTAGAATTAAATAGCAAGAAAGAAATATTTACTAGAAAAAAAATAAGCAATATACACTTTTTGTAAAATTTATTGAGAAATTTAAATTCTGTTACGAATAATACATAGCTGCATTATTAAATACTTATAATACCGGGTATTATAATTATTTAATGATGCATAGCTTTAAACAAAAAGGTTCAGCATTAAAAAACCTTTTTCATGAAGCAAAATTGGTTAATCCACCCAGACAAATAATTTATCATGTGAAAAAGTTATATGTGGTTGTCTTCAACTGCAAGGTTATTTGTTTTTTTTTTTAAATTTTGAATTAATGCATTATGTACATGTCGAGTTGGTACCTTTTGAACACCACATCGAAAACACTCTGTGGTTATCTTTGTGTAATGAATTATTGTTATTTCTTTCTTCCTTACTCACTTTAGGTAGAGTATGGTGTGGCGCGAGGTCTAGCGCGCCGGCCATTAGACTTGCGGCTGTGGCGGTGAGACGACGCGCGTGCGCACGGTACAGGGACACGACGCGGATGCCGAGCCGGTTGCACGGGTTCATCCAAGCATTGATCGCGGGTGATGCCGTGCTCAGTAAATTCCAGTCGAGCCTAAACGAAGGTGCAAAGTAATGTGTAATTTTTTTTTTGCATGATGTTAATATATATCGCAAGATTTTTAAAAAATATTGAATGAATGCAACCTTTATTTTGATTTTATTGTTGAAACAAATTGATAAATGCTTGAAAGTTTTTGAGAAATGTTGAACGAAAGAGTTGAATGATAACTGCAATCTTTCGACAAATTAAAAGAAGTTTTAATTATGTTTCTTGATCATTAAAAACATCATTCAATCAAACGAATTTTGATAGATTTTATAATTTGAGAATTAGCCCACTGCACGTAAAAAAATCCTTGATGTAATAATGAATGGAGAAATACCAGAAGCAATTATATAGTTACCTCAGCAAATACAAAGGCCGTATTGCAATGATTTTCTATAAAACCCACAGATATTATTGTCAAAATCACGTGATCTGACACGCCGAAATGATACATGACGTCATAACTCGCTATCACTTTCAGGGTTACCAGAATAATTTGGCTAAATTCAACTTATTCTATATTCAACTATACAAATATATAAATGGTAGGAGAAATAATCATTTAATATACGGTCAGTTACACAAACGTCCATTAAGGTTTAATGACGTATTTAAGCTCTAATGAATATAAATTTGTATGAGTAATGTGGCTTTAAACTAATGACAATTGGACTTTTGTGCAACTGGCTGATAGTAGCGTAAATATGTATAAACGTACTCACACTCATGTTCACTAACCTAAAACAAGGCATAGCATAACTAATAAACGCCTAATATTACAAATCGCTTATGCAGATTCATAATGAATATCATAACTTAAGACATTGGTTAATTTCAATAGGTGGTTTCTATTCAATAGTGAAATGCATTTGTACCTTAGGCAATTCCTAAATATTTAGGCGACAGATTTGGACGACTCCTAAGTTTAGTAAATACAGACATCAGTTTTATCATGGAGAAAGCAATATATAGAGCACCTAGGATAAAATTGGATATCGCAACTTTGTAAAATCTTTAGTAAGCGATTTAAAACATATTCTTAATGAAATAATTTGTCCAAGGCACATAATCGATTTTTAAGTATTTTTTTCAGTATAGCACTGTGAATGCAAATGATCGAATATATTTTTAATGTTTAATGTGTGCTTTATAATGATAACTGTACGGGGAATACACCTTATTGTTGAGATAGTTATAATAAAAGTCACTTGTAGGCAATAATAATAAAAAGTATATATTTTATTTAGTCACTGTAGTAACAAGGTTCTTAAACTTATTTTAACACTGAGTCTCTTTATACTAATAAAATTATAGAAAAGGAAATTATAACTATGGTGAAATAATGGTAGTAGAAAGTATGGTAAAATGGTATGAGTGAGTACGCGCGATTGGTATGGCGATCGGAAAAACACTAACTTTTACTTCGATATTAGAGACATTGCGAAACATAATTTAAAATAATTATGAATTAAGTAGCAAGCGAATATTGCTGACGCGCGTTACCTACTTATTACAGTTCAATGTGCGGTCGGGACCGTACATGCTCCCGGGGGAGAGAAAAGAAAAGATGCGATGTGGTGAATGAAAGATCTAAGAGTATATATACTTTTAATTAAAATAAGTGAAGTGCAAGATTATATGGTTAGTGCATTACAAGGTGAAAAAACAATATGTCCTTATACTAGTACTTAATTAGAATGCCGAAAATGAGAACGAAAATTCGGTACTGGGGTTGTATTGAAACGCGTTTGGTATTTTCGCACTTTTTCACTGACACTGGGCCTTTCAAAATCAATAACGCACTCATTAGACCCTTCTTGTTTTATAGCACTGGTATTGGCACATTTATCACTGGACGCGCACTCTTTTACACTCACACACTGTACACTAGCACTATATGTAGCGTCTATGTCGCTGTGAGCGGCGGCTTGGCGGCGCGCCATGCGGCGCACGTGCAGCCTGCGGCCCGACCAGGCGAGCCCGGCGACGATAACGCCACCCACCAACACATAGATGGCGATGTAATGGTGAACGTCGTGGTAGGAGACGACGTCCGCTATACCTTCTTGAGATTTCATCTCCTTTATTTGATCTCCAAGAAGTTTAAGGTCTTTTTCTAAACCATTCGATGTCATCAACATGGTAGAGTTAGGTATGGTGATATTTATTATATTATTTATAGGTGGAACGTCTAGTGTCAAGACATCTGATTTGACATTTATGTTATTGGACATCTGTTTCTGCGACATTATAGTAACGAAGTCGTCCTTGATGACGCAGCCACTTCCGAGCGTAATGACACCGTTTCCGATTAGTCGTTCCGCAGATATAAGCTGATTACACATTATTCTTATAGGACATTCGTTGCAACAAGAGAATAGATAAGTATTTATTCTTTGAAGCTGAGACCATGAGTGAGCACATGGAATAATATTAGTTTTGCAACCATTGGTAATTGTATCTTTGATACACAGATTTTCATCAGTTGTAAATTGGTATAATGGTGTATGTACTGGACATAGTTGTGTATCAACATCATAAAAAATACAGTTTTGGAGAATGTAGTCAGGCATTGGTAAGTATAAATCCTATCTTAGGTTGATGGCAACGTGGGGAGCAACAGGCATTAGGGTGACCATAGTTTGGTTTAATCTTTTGGGTATTGGTATAATTTTATATATATCATATAGATCTCGACTAACGAGTGGGATTTTAATCTCAAATAATAAATAAGATTTGGTGGTTCTAGCTCTGATTTTTAAAAGATGATAGATTTTGGGTAATTCGGTTTGGATGTTATCGATTGGTAAAGATAAATCTTTGGATATTCTGCCCGCAATCAAATGAAGCTCTTGCATTAATTGTTCTGGTTTCAATAAATGTACGTTGAAACTTCCGTAATATATATTGGTGATGGTGTCTAGTAATGTGTCTTGAATATTACGTAAGTTGGTGAGAATGTTGTTAGCGATTAATGCTGATGCAGTAAAGTCATTCATATCGGCGACATTATTTATTTCTGTATTTAATTGTTTCGCTGTTTTCTCAAGAATTATCAAATGTTGGTTGAATTTTTTATGTTGCAGTTCCATTGCATTTTCGGTTCTTTTTAAGAAATTATATTCCGCTTCTACTACCGAGGTTTGATTACGCCATAAACTTTCGAGATGTTTTTCGTTATGTTGGATTAGATCTATATCTTTGGTATACTTTTCGGCGAAATCTTCGTCCAGAATTCCAAATAAAGTGTGAGCCACCGTTCCAATACCGTTGATAAGTCCGCGACGGCGGCGACTCGCCGCGCGCGCACTTTGCTGACCGAGCAACATTTGATTATAATGCTTATACTCGTCGTATCCATGACCTAATTGTAATAGGAGTATTTCGCATTGACCTTTATATTTATGTTTTGAACATATGGTTTCAAGGTGATTGACATATTTATCCAGCAACACAGTTCCTTGCCAGTAGGGATTAAGATCGTAATAAACTACGAGCTTCCATTCGTCTCTGGCTAAGTACATTGTAGATGTTTTGTCGAAATAGTACATATTGTGGTTATTATTTAATGAAACTATGTTGTATGTACAATGTACTGGTGTAAATAAATATGTAAATAATATTAACAGAAGCGAAAGGAAGTTACTATAGGTCCTTTTGGTTTGGTTCGTTTTTATTTTTGGTTTGTTCTGGTTTTCAGGCAGGTTACAATCAGATTCTGTCTCTTTCTGGTGGTTGTTTAAAACTGGTGAAATTGATAGCTTCGTAGTAGGCCTTTTCATAAATCCATTTTTGGTTTTTACAGTGACGACTCTGACATAACCATCCTTGCCAGGGTGGAGCTCCACGACTCGCCCCAATGCCCACTTTCCAGCAGGTAAGTTACTTTCGTGTATAATAACGACGTCATCTATTCTAATATTTTCTTTTGCATGTTGCCATTTAGAGCGGGATGATAATTGTGTAAGGTATTCCATCTGCCATCGACTCCAGATATCTTGAAAAATTTTTTGAGTAAGGTGCCATCTGGTTCTTAAATCTGTTTCGGTTTCTAATATGGTAAGAGTGGGTCCGCTAGCCAGAAAATGTGATGGTGTTAGATAGTCTAAGTCCTCTGGGTCTTCAGATATCGGACACAAAGGCCGTGAATTCAGACATCCTTCAATTTGTGTTAAGACGGTAGTGAACTCCTCGAACGTAAGTTTCTGGTCTCCAACTACTCGCTTTAAATGAAATTTGAGGCTTTTAACAGCGGCCTCCCATAAGCCTCCGGCTGTGGGCCACGCGGGTGCATTGAAATGCCAGTGGATACCCATCTCTGCCGCTTCTGACATGAACTGGTCATTAAAAATGTGTTTTAATGCTTCAAACTCTCTATTTAATATTCTGTTAGCGCCCACAAAATTGGTACCATTGTCGGAATATATATGGTGTGGTGTCCCTCTTCGTGCTGCCATTCTCCGTAATGCAGCGAGGAATGACGAAGTGCTTAGGTCCGAGACTAGTTCCAAGTGTACGGCTTTGGTTGCCATACATATAAATACTGCCACGTAACCTTTTGTGGTTTTGACACCCCTGCCTTTATTGGTTTTGATAGGAATGCTGCCGGTGAAGTCAACGCCAGTATGGTGAAACGGACGTGACGGGTTGCTTCGAGCTTCTGGTAGATCACCCATCAGTTGCTGTTGCAAGTATGGTTCGTGCCTTTTGCAGGTCACACAAAAACGAATTTGCTTTTTGGTAACTCGATTACCACTGACAATCCAATAATTTCTTCTAAGAAATGCCAAGGTAAGTCTCGCTCCACCATGGAGTGTTTGTTGATGAGCGTGGTCGATTAATAATTCAGTCAATCTGTGGTTTGATGGAATAATGATTGGATACTTCATATTTTCGTCGATGTGTGCATTTTTCAATCTGCCACCGACGCGCAGTAAACCAACTTGATCTAAAAATGGGTTTAAATTATATAATTTGCTTTGTTTTTCTAATTTTTTATTGGTTTT